AGAGAGAGAGAGAGAGAGAGAGAGAGAGAGAGAGAGAGAGAGAGAGAGAGAGAGAGAGACAGAGATATCAGCCAGCAAAGCAGATAATATGTCGTCGAATATAGACCGGCGGGGACACGCGGTCGACATATCCGAGCGAGGGGACGTTGCCCGATGTCCAGATATACGCTAGTCTCACGAAAGTCCTCGCGCGCTCGCTCGACTTGCCGCGAGTCTTGCCTCTTTTTGTTTCTCACGCGGACGATTCCGAATGTCGATTTTTGCACGTAGACGACGTTCCTAGCCGGTCTCTGGCCACTTTCTCTCTCACCACACCCTCTCTTCCTCTGAAAAATGAAATTTTTATTTCAGCAAGAGCTCTCCTGCAGCCAACGTTTCTGCAGAGAAATGGGGACGTTGATGCATTCGACGTTGAAAATTAAAAGCTCGCGATAAACACGGTCCGCTTATCTCTCCTATCTTCGGCGCGTCCGCGGCGTATTGGTAAACAAGATTTATTTGGTCAATTTTTTTCGTACTACGAGGGAGAAGAAAGAGAGAGTGAGAGGAAGAAAGAGAGGAAAGGAGGGAAGAGAGAGAAGAGAGAGAGAAGAGAAGGAGAGAAAAAGAGAAAGAGAGCTACGGATAATAAAGGAAAATCGTTCCACGCTGAGAGACCAGCCATATTGCTGGCGAAATATCGCGCATGTTAAAAATATAAAACTATTCTGGGGAGAGCGCGTAAGAACGTAAGCGTTCAGCGTAATTTATCAATAGAGAAAAATAAGCACGTAGATAAAGCACGTCGTTGCCGTGTGTGTGCGCGGACGCGCGCATGCGGGCGGTCGCACGATATCGGACTAAAAGGCTGACGACATGAATTAAAGCGAAACAAACGTCCCAGAAGCGTGATTTACGTCGCCCTTTGTTACTGTCGCTTAAGACGCAAGCTGAGGAGAGTTAGCGCGCACCTTTGCGCCGCAACCGAGTGCCGATATGCAAAGACCTCGAGATCGGCGAGGACACGGTCCTGTCGTTCGCTCGAATTTCTCCCGTCTACGTAAAATTCTTATTCCCCAGACGTACCACGTGATTCTCCGAGACAAAACGCGAGTGCTCCTTCGCATTCTCCCCGGGCGCGCTCGAAACTTTGTCGTACCGACAGAGAAAGAAGAGAGGAAGAGGGAGAGAGAAAGAGAGTGAGAGAGAACAGACAGAGAAAGAGGGAGAGAAAGCACTGTTGTTCTCCTGCCGGAATCTTCTTCCTTGCGAGGAAGTTTGCAACTCAACTGAACTTAGAACTTCGATTGTTTTAAACTCCCGCGAGGCTGCGGAGAGAAGGTACAGCACTTTGATTTCGCCAACTTTTACATACTGTCGCGCATTATACGCGCTACCGGCTGCTCTCCCGCTACCAATTTATCGTCTCATAAAAAGAATCGCGACCGGTTGATTTTCTGAATCAACGCCAGACGATAGGACGGAAATATCAAGTTGCATAAATAAATCGCCCTTCGACCTTTTCTCTTTCAGTCTTCCTCTCCATCATCATCGACGGCTCTACAGGTCGGCTGTGGAAAGAGTTGTACAAAAGTAATTTGCCGACCACGCGTCTCATTACATGCTCGTTTATCCTACAGAACCTGATCTAATATGTCCGCCCTTTTCCCGTTTTTCCTTTTCTTTTCCTTTTTCTCATTCACCCTTGACGTTTGTACGACCGTGCGAAGCGGCAATTAACGAGATCTCCGGACGAAGTCTACGCGAATGGAAACCGGGATCCTAGAAGATGCAAGAAACTAGACGCGTCGCCTAGAAACGAGCTAGCTAACAGCCAGCTTTCGGCCTCTCGGCGCAATTGTGCGCTCGGCGCAAACGCAGCGCGCTTATAAATAGCTCGAAAATGAGGGGTTAAAAGGTTACGGCGTGTCTGCCGCCGTCACCACCGCCATCGTCATCGCTTGCGGTCCTTAAAAAACCTCCTGTCGCTTTAACCAGACCCACGCGGTGGTAGAAAGTAACGAGGACGAATTAGTCGTTTATTATTTCGCTCGTTAGTCTGCGCGTCGTCTCGGAATTGTTGACCGGAATCTCACCGCCCTCGTGTATATTGAGACTTGCGTCGACCCGTATTATGCCTGGACGTTAAATAAAAGGACACGATAAAAAAAAGAGGGAAAGCAAACAAAGCGAAAGTAGAAGATCGCCACAATCTGCGGATTTTCAGAAATAAGAGCTCTCCCTTAATCACGTTATCGAATATCGTTTCGCGGAACAGTTTTAATTTTCAATCTTCTCTAAGAGAGAACACTATCAGCGCTTATCGAGCTAGTATCAAACGATATGTTATTGTCGACCTAATCTCGGAAATAAATTTAACGTATCGCTCCTCGATAACTTGGCCGTCTTTCTCCCTTTCTGCGATATTCGCTTGAGCGCGGGCTACTCCTAAGGAAGCGATCGCGTCTGAAGACCTCGGGGACCACGACAATATAGCCTAAGAGCAGCCGGAGTCGCATCGGAGGGCCAAGTATCGAGGAAGATAAAGAGCCCGACTAAGAGAGCGAGAGTGCGCGGGGCGCGAGCGGAACGAAAGGAGCCATCGATCGTCCCCGTCGCTAAAAGAGACACACGCGCACGCTAGAAGAGCCAGACGGTCGGTCCCGGTGCATCCTCGGTCCTCTTCCTCGGCTACCCGGATCGCTCAGCCGCGCGCGCGCTGCCGGGTAGCTGCTGCAGCCGTTGGCGGCTCACGGAGAGGAGTGCAAAAAATCCACGGCGATCTCCACGTCTCGGAGAACGGCGAGATTCAGGGGCGGGTCTGCCTCCGCTCCGCGCAAGGAAAATCGATCAGCGCCGGGCAGGCCGGCGGGAGGGTGAGCGGGCGGCGGTGGCGACGGCGGCGTTTCTTCTCTTGCTCTCTCCCTCTCTCTCTCCCTCTCTTTCTTTCTCTCACTCACTCACTCACTCTCTTTCTCTCCCTCTTTCTTTCCCGCTCTCTCTCTCTCTTTCTCTCTTTCGTGAGACTCACCTGCTACTATTAAGGATGACAACGGACACACGCACGATCGGCTTCCAGACACGCTTCCTGGCCGGGTACGTGTGTGACTACGGAGACGACGCTACGGATGACACCTTCTCGAGGACGCTCTGCAAACCAAGGACGATCTTCTCTGTAATGCGGCTGCGTGCACCTCGAGCGATGACCAGCGCGACGAAACGGCGGGTATCTCTCGCTTCTGCCGTGTCTCGACGTTGCGATGCCGTCGACTACTACTACGTGTTGCTGCTACCACTGGCACTGCCGCGACCGGAGTCATCCCCCTCTCGCCCTGCTTCCCTCCTTCGGTCGGTCGGTCGGTCGCGAGTCCGACATCCCTCGGGCACCACGCATATCCTCCCCGCTCCGTCGTCGATCTTCCCCTTCCGTCGCCGTGGACCGCCACTCTCTTCGCCGTCGTCATGGTGATCATCCCTCCTAGAGGAAGAGAAAGGCGATTGGTTAAATAGAGATAGAACTCGTTGAGAGAGAAAATCATACAGGACGTTCCAAAATCGAGTCGAGATCTAATCGTCTGAGACAGAATAAAAACAATATAGAAAAACTAATATTGATAAGTTCGATTGCAAGAATACACGTGGGTAATCAAAGACCCACGATCGTTCAATGATATGAACGATGAGATTATACGTGTGACTAATATTACTCGAGAAAACGTCACGCTCAGAAGAGGATGGGAATCTAGAATCATATCGGCGGGAAGCAAATAACCACAGCATTAATTAGGATTGCTTTCAAAAATAAACATTTATTTCAAAATTAATGCTTACCAACTGTATCCTAGAAACTAAGGTCTCTATCCTAGACACCGAGCGTGTTTAGGTATTTTTTTTCTTCTTAAGAGTAATTTTTCTTAAGAAACCATTGCATTATTAAGTTGTGTACAATTTTGTATAGTACCGTAATAGGTATAGCGAATACAATCGCCATCCAATTCACCATCAAAATCACATGATTCCTTTCGCGCACTTCAAGCTTCCAAGAGATCAGAACTCCAAAGATCTAAGGATCGATAGATAGAAGAATTTGAAGATTTTCGAATTGTTGAATTACAAGAATCCAATTATTCGAAGGACTTCAAAACCCAATGATGAAACCCAAGGATTCTAAAATCCAGAGATCAATTGACCCCAATATAACGTACGGAGCTCTCCGAGATCTAAAGATCCTAAGATCCGAACTGGAAAATCCAATAACCCAAAGAGATTTGAGGATCTATAGATCCCCTAGACTTAAACACCCGAAGGTTTAACGCCTTACATTCTAAATGCAACGCATATGTCATGCGCTTTGCGTATCTAATTGATTCGGCAATCAAAATCATGTATACAAAAAACCGGATTGCGCGTTATTTCTTACCATCAAACACAATTCGACAATTCTCACTCTCCAGTATCTCAATAAAAATTAAAATGATAGTACCGCTAAGTGGTGATATCACATTTATGGTTCGGAGTACGCGCTGTTGGACCTCGTCCAGAGGAACGTTTAAAGAATCCCCCTGGATCTTAGACAGCGTCCTTTGTAGCTTGTACCAGTTCTCCAAATGACGTTTCTAGAAATTGCCGTAGTTCTGCGTAAGTTACTACTAGAACACTCTGTTCATCTCGAGACATGAGACATATCTGAAATCATTTCTGTGTTAATATATACACACGTACACAAGCATGCTGAGAAAATTTCTAAACCTCTTTGATGCTTACCTTGTCCGGCGAGCCTGTATCGAGCTTGTTTAAACAAGCCACAACGTGCGCCATATCCAGCCAGGGTCTACCATCAGCTGTCACTTGATGAAATACATAGTCCCTAAATAATTTGAGCATGTAGCGGTCACCCGTTTCTGCCCACGAAGGGTCCATGTTGAGCTCCGGTCTTTCGTTGATAGTCGCCAACTTGACCAACAGTCTAAACAGTCTCCCGTTCTCCAGTTCCTTGGCAAGTTCGTTCTCCAGAACTTCAGATTGTATCTGAGCAGCGTCCAGCTGCGTATAGAACCGCGCACCGATCATCGGCATAAGATCCGTAACGCTCTTACGAGGTTGATTAGACAGCAAATATCTGAAAATTCAAATTCTCCGTCACGTGAATACAATAAATAAAAATCGATAAGTGTGAATTCATGAAGAGCATCATATCCTCGAATTACCGCATCCGTTAATACAAGGAGTTGCAAATTTTTACGTACAGGACGAGGTTTCGGAGGTCAGTTGAGTAGGAACGTGTGATGAGTTCGATGGAGGCTGACATATTGTCACGATGAATAGCGATAAGACTCCGACATGCTAATGCTAAAACAAGCTTGCCAAGAGCTACCAAATCCTCCTGCTGATAATGTGGCATGAGTGCGAGTGGATTTGAGGTGTTTCCATCGAGAGTCACCACGTCCGGAATGGAGGCGCAACTCAGGCGAAGTCGCGTCTGCGATGTAAGTAAAACTTTGGTGGGATCTAAGCATCTGTATGCCAAGCCTGTAAAAACGCATATCTATCAGACTGACATTAAATTAAACGAACTAAGATAAATCTAACGAAATGGCAATATGCAACTGCTTCACTTGGTGCAGCAACAGACACTCATCGTCCTTTAAGAAAACATATAACAAGGAAGCAATACTAACCAGCAGCATGGACAACACGTAATGCGGCAGTGAGTTGAATGATATAGCTCCAAATAACACTTTCCTGTAACATGCTACCGTGTTGTTGTCTTAGAATAGTATTCTTTGTGTGACTATAAGGCCGATGACCGTTTGGATCCGACGAAAATGGATCGGTGTAACCGTTCATTTCAGTCGACGCAAAATGCTTGTTCAGCAACGTTTCCGATGCGGGATGATAGTCGTATACAAACACCATGGCTGAAAGAGAAAGAGATCGGTGAGATTGACGCGACGCAATGTGTGCGCGAGACAATAACGAATGTAGCTAACAAATACAGACAATGATCACCGAATGCTTTAGTAGTGAAGACTTCCCTCAGCTGAACCAGATTTGAATGGGACAATCGCTTCCACATGTCAACTACTACCATGCATTTCGTATTGGCAAGTCGAAAATCTAGAAGCAAAGTCCGACGAATAAAATTAGCGACATATGATATAATTAAGATTCCAAAAAAAAAAGACAAAGAACAAAGTTATAACTTACCATGTATACGACGCAGACAATATCGAGTGCCGTTCTTGATACTGGTGGCTTTGTACGTGGAGGTTTGATACCCGAGCACTGTCGAGGCAGGTTTATGAATCGGCTCCAGAGGACACAATTCGTGATAATTGTCAACCTCATTAGGTAAATCGGGAAATCGTACTACGTCAGGCTGTGCTAATGTCAATGCATTCTTTTGCAAGATATCCAGTCGTAGATTTTCGCACACGAAGAAGCTAGGGGCAGCTTGAGGAGGTGGTGTGGAGGGAGCAGAGGAATTGTTAGACGAAGGCTGTTTTGAAGTTTTCACTGGTTGCAGATGTGACGGTGTGCCTGGGTAGATATAACCGATCTGTCCTGTTCCTACCTGTCCAATCTAATGGAATAACATAAAATAATAATAAATAAAGATGACGCGTTACACTGTTTTCCGTAGATTAAAAACACACATAAAAATTATGCAATTTCCATTTTATGAACATATCAACATAAAACTTGCTTTGTACCTTGATTAATATTAACTGTGTATATAAAAATAGAAAAAAAAAAAATATATATATATATATACATATAGCTCGTGCACAAGCTTAACATATACAACTTGTGCGCAAGCTTGGTACGCAATTTGTGCAGAAACTTGATGAACTGGGAGGCTTACCGCCTCGGTTCCATCGTCGCCTGCGACAGTGTCAGTAGTGGCATTTCCCACATAAAAGTACATAGTGCCACCTACATTCTCCTGAGAATGCGTGTACGAATTGTTAAAGAGATTCGGCGAGCTGCTATTGCTACCTGTAAGGCCTCTTCCTGGCACAAATTCGGGGCTGGCAGTTACCTTCTTTTGTGAGTCCAAAGAAAGATTACACAAATGCTTGGTTACTGAGTTTGTGCTCAATCCTACACCAGGGCTCTGGCGATTCTGCAACAAAACATAGAAAAGGCATCTCACTTGGGATTGTCCAAAAGCTATATTATTTCTAATGCAAAAGTGATAAGCTACCATGTAGGTAGCAAGCTTGGACTCCGATGGAACTCCGTTTGTTTGAGGAGTGTATGCAACAAACAACGATGGGTCCATCGCTTCCTCAACCAATGCATTTACTACTATCGTTCTTATCTTTGACCCTTGCTTCCTGTATTGTCTTTAGATAAATAGGAACACGTCCCTCTCACATAGACTCTTATGCAGCATACACTACTTTGGTACTTTCTCCTCTCTGCCTTGTAGATATAAATTGGAATCTCTGCTTTCTGAGTCTGCAACATATCTTATAATACCATGAATTAAAATATTCTCACACACATGCACACACACACACACACACAAAGTCGTATAACTATAAACTAATTCTACTAGACATGATTTCAACTATGTGTTTGATCAATGTTTTGTTTTTCTTGACGATTCTCTTTGTTAAATTGTACATAAACTGAATGTAACGACACAAATGTATTCGCGTTCACCTCGCGAGATCTATTCTTTCTTTTTTTTCCTCTGAAGAAATAGAAAATACATCTGTCGCAAATCCGAGCGTTGCATCGTAAACTATTATAGTTTGACAAGCCATATAGTACAATGAGCCGATTTTTGACAGAATCTCCTGTAGTCTTTCGGTCGGAACACAAGTTTACAGGGCAGCAGTCGAAAAACGAGACTCGCGACGCGGGACAGTCAGCCGAGAGAACCGCGGGCGAACATAACGACACGACAAGGACTCGAAACGCGAGGGTCGGAATGGCGAACGAAAATAAAGGGAAGGGAAGGGAAGAGCGCCAAAGCAGTAATGGCAGCTGATTTTGACAACAGACTGACGGGCGAGCGGCGGGCACGTCTCAATTCTACCTCAACTCGGAGAATGTCGGCCAGCCGAGAGCCGAAAGAGAGGCGCGAACGCCGATTGCGGCGCGTTCGGAGCGCGCGCGAGCTGGAACGCGGGTACGTTGAACGCCGTCGAACGCCGACATAACCAATTAGCGCTGTCACCGTTCGCCGCTACCGCCGTCGTCGCGCCGCGCCGCGTCGCGTCGCGATGCGTTGCGTCGCTTCGCGTCGCGTTAGCCGGCGACACAACGGCGCGGAAATTCCGCGGTTCGTCGTTTCGCCGCCGTCGCCGTAGAACAAACGGACGGACAAACGGATGGACAGCAACCAAGTGGACAAACGAACAGACGGAGCCGTCGCCACCGCTGTCGTTCTTTCACTCCTTCGGCCCGCTGTCTCTATGAAATTCTTACACAATTCGGAGTAGGATGGCAGGCCACTGGATCACAGCATTCTTCCATTCGGCAGGCCACGGTGGAGAAATGCAATCCGCTCCGTTTACTCCGCTTCGGTCGGTTGTGCTTTCGTGCGTGTTTACGGTGCTGCTTCTCTTTCCCCTTCCTCGGGCTACCTCTCGTCTCTCCTTGTTGTATGCTCCGCGCCGTATCGTGCGTCGCCGTTGCCTTCTCCTCTTCCCCCTGCCATCTAGCTTTCTGTCTCTGTCGCTCCCCTCGCAAGAGCGCGCGCTCCCGTCAACCGACTCGGTCCTTCGATCGCAGCTGTCCTGCGACGGCTGTCTCCGGATGCGTAGGAGAATGGCGGACGTTGTTGTAAGCGCGATAGTTTGAAACGGTTGAATCGTTCACAAGAGAGAAAGATAGGAAAGGAGAGAAAGAAAGCAAACTACGTTGTTTTGCTGTGAAATAATCAAGCAGTAGAGACCTTTTGAAGACATTTTTACCTTTTCGAATGTCCCTTTAATGTTTTGAGACGTCCTTTTAGAAACTTCTGCTACCTGAGTCTCGACGCATCTTTCTCGAAGATAATAAAACAGAGAGAGAGAGAGAGAGAGAGAGAGAGAGAGAGAACTATATTTTCGTCAGTTTGACTTTACTCGTAAGAGATCCCTCACTGGAGTGTAAAGTATGATTTCTTATACTTATGGTGATCTTTCAGGAAAAAATATACGTACATATGCCCTGCACGTGTGTCTGTATATTTACACGTTGAGCAGGAAGTTCGAAATATGCTGCATCGAATACATGATGTACACGTGTCGCGCATATGCTACCCCACGTGAAACACTCGGAACTGTTTATTAAATGCACAACATTTGAGAGATATTTTCCACGTGTAAAAACACAGTCATACATTTTACCCAACAACTTGCAAAATAAAAAAAAATAATGTAAAATGTATTCTATACAAACACTCCCAGAATTATATGTTTTTTCGACCAAGGGCTCGAAAAATTATCCACCCGAGTTTCGAACTTGAGTTTGTAGAAACAAATTTTTCTAAATCTACGAGCGATATTATGAGCAACAAACATAACAACGTGTAATAATGAGGTCTCTATTATCTATTAATTTCTGTTAATGCGACTTTAACTTATTTGACGTCATTAATACGGCATCATGTTCGTTAGAACGATAAAGGCTAAATTTTACCATCGTTAGGATATTCCTTTTCTTATTCTTCTTTTGTTGCAGGTAAAGCATAGTTGTAGAATATATTTTATAATTTTGACTTGAATCACAACCGGGAGTGCGCCGATACTTCAGTAATGCCTATGAAAATTGAACATGAGATTAAACAATAAAAATTGTTATATAATGATAAATTATCTACGAAAACATTATTACAATACAAAGTACAAAATACAAGTTCCAAAAAAATATCAGGTCCGAACTTGTTAGAATACATCTAACATAACGACAGTTAGGTCGGAACTAGTTCAATATATGAGGCGTTTTTTCGTTTCGTGACCACGATACCGTTTGATTGGTTGGTTTGGTACACTCAACGCTCGCAACACTCGAGCAACACCTCGAGCAACAAAGATAGAGTGACGTTCGCGGCGTTGCGAGTGTAAGTGGACCTAACCGACCAGACGCTACCGTGGTACGAAACGAAAACGCCTCTGGTTACAGGGAGACATTCAATTTAAAATTCCCCAGCACATACCATTCCCGTATGTCGGAACGCAGCCGATGGTCCAATGAAAGAATTTATTTTTCGAAAATGAGTTCTCCTCATTCTCGAATTGTGTTCCAGGCCTCAAGACTTTGTCGCAGCTCACATTTAAAATTCGGGTAGACAACGAAGAAATACGAGAAAATACAAGATCTATTCTTTGTAGCACTACGTGCACTAAGGTACACTATTTATATATAAAGCCAGCGGCACACGGTGCTTGTTTCGTACTGGATTACTTGCTGGATGGAAATACTCTGTTTTGATTGGTGCATTTCCATCCATCTTCAGAAATGCACCAATCAGCAAAGCAAGCAATCCAACATAAAAACAAATACCGTGTGCAGCTGGCTTAACAGATAGTATCTAGCATTGGACTGCGCGAATTGTTCCGAGATATAAGTTCTGTGATTGGCTAATAGAGGCATGTGACATCACGTCCGGTATTAAACGCAAAATACTTGAAAACGCTATAAAAAATGTGTATAAAACGCTATAAACTTTTATGGGTCCTGCATACAGGACGCGGTAATGCTTGCCGCGCGGTGGAAATCCGCGCGACAGCCAATCAATATGCTGCTTTCCGTAATAACCTTCTAGCTCTTACGGAAAGCAGCATATTGATTGGCTGTCGCGCGAACTTCCACCGCGCGGCAAGCATTACCGCATCCTGTGTGCAGGAACCATTAGTGCATGAAAAAAAAAAGAGGAAGTTTGCAAGATTTAAAGAGTGCAGCACTAAAGAACATATTATAATCTTGATAGATGTCACTGTTAAAAATTCTACCTTGGTAGAAAGGGCTATTTGAGAAAGTCTGCAAGCCAAGTAAAATATAGTGAAGAAGACATATACTGAACTGAACAACTCTGACACACGGTGTATTGTGTTCCAGACCTGAAAGTTAAAATATCACAATGATCATTCCTGTGCGGTGTTTCACTTGTGGGAAGGTAATTGGTAACAAATGGGAAGCGTATCTAGGACTCCTTCAAGCTGAATACACTGAAGGGTAATATTTTTTTATGCTCAATCTTGTTTCTTAACCTCAAAATCAAATCATTATCTTAGACCTTTTTATCATTTTAAATTATTTTCTTACTATTATTTGTTTCTTTCTTTATCTTAAAATTAATGTAAACGACAAAGAATGTGAAAAAGGAAAATCAAATATAATAATTGAGAATTTTTGTGTATTGTAGAGATGCTTTGGATGCACTTGGCCTGAAAAGGTACTGCTGTCGCAGGATGTTGCTTGGACATGTGGATTTGATTGAAAAATTGCTTAACTACGCTCCTCTGGAAAAATAATTCTTAAGCTTTTCTTGGAGAAATAATTCATGAGCATCTTAAGTATTCATTGAAATTTATGGATTCATCCATAAATATACTCAATTATGGTCCTCTAGAAAAATAATTCTTAAAAGCATCTCTTGGAGAAATAATTCTTAAGCATCTATTGAAATTTATGGATTCATTCTTTAACCAATTGCCAGACACAATATTGCAAATTGGAATTTTGTAATAACATGTTATAGAATTTGTTTCGTTCCTGTAATAATTATGTATTAATAATAATATATCATTATACTAGTCTTCTTTGTAATAAAAAATAAAAAAGTTACTTGTGTATATAACTTCTATGATTATCCTTCTAGAAATTTCATGTAGTTTACAGCATTTACATATTTAGAAAAGAGTTTAGCATATGGCATAAAGTAGAAGATGAGAAATGAATTAAAGATCAAAGCTTCCTCTGTAAAATGTAAAATTACTCGTATTTCATAATTGCAGCCAGTGCATTGTGTTACAAATTGTATCTTAAATAATAAAAATTCCACTTGTGTCAGTACAAACGCTTGTCCATTCAATAAAAAAAAAATGGGAAAGATACATAGTACACGTGGCTCTTGTGCACATTGGTATACAAAGACATATTGTAATGTTAATTTTAAATGCAATGCAGGAAGACCCATCTTGCTTGAGTAATATTTCTTCCACGTGCACATTTACATTTTCTCACACAGATCTGTCGTTTTTGTTCGAACATTGCTGTTATTCAATCTCTATAACATTGTTTTCCTTTTGTGAAAAAATATTGACTAAAATTACAACATTATGTGTGAAAGCATGGTCGAGACTGTAACACAATGTAACCGTATTCGATCAATACAGTTGCACTGTGTTAGAGAATTTAAGAAAAAATATGTGCCCATAACACGCGCTTCTCAAGATATTTCTTTCTGCAAAGCGAGATTGTGGAGATTGCTTCCACAAACCGATAAGTAGTTTGACGCTTCGTCAATTAAAATTGCCGTATCTCTTGGAATTGGAACATCCCGACAGTATAGAAATTATTTCGCACGGAAATTCAATGCTTCTTCGGATATTCGTGTATCACGACCGCGATATAATTTATCCGTTGCAAAGCAACGAATACTCTCTCTTCCCCTCTCGCTGAGTGATATTGAATACTGTCATTACTCCTAAATCTACGTTCCTTATCAACTTCTGATCTTTACATACGGTCGTATAAGATTCTTGGAAGTTCCCTAATTTTCTACGCTTTATTACAATATGCAGTATAGGAACGAAAGATATACGCTAATGGTTTACCGAAGAAAACAAATCCTAAATGTTGAAACGTTAAATCGAAATACTTAGAGCCAGAGAATTCGATCAAAATTTGAAAAGTCTCGGTATTCATGAAGTGTAAGAAAACCTGAACTACTGTACATAACCTAAATAAATCGATCGTGTCCAGTAGTTCAATGTCCGCCCGCCCGCGAGCGTAACCCCATGTTTGATTCATTCTGAAATACATTAGCTAGTCTATCGAGAGCAGACGTAACAAACTTATTTTTTTCCTAACAAGATAAATGAGGTATTTTCTCTATCAAGTATACAATGCTACTATATCCATTATAGAACTGCGCGATCCGAATATTAGCGCCATTAGACCTATCACGGTTATGATTACGTTCTTCAAGGCCACCCAATTGCCCGGTCCGAAACCCACGTCCCAGTAAGTTACGGTCTCGATGAAGACTGGGATCAGGAGGCCCAGGATGGAGAAACAAAATGCACCGATCAAGCCGATGAACGGTTCTATCGTCGGCACCGCCACCGCGAGAAGAACTGCAAGACGAAGGAATAAATTAATTTACAGTATATTATTAATTTGTAACGTTTATGAGATGTTCTGATAAATAATATCTGCCGAATCGATGCGTACCTGCGCCAGTTACCAGCACTGTTCTCATAATGTAATTAGCTAAACGTGGCCTCTTGGTGAAGCGACTTTTTATCGTATTCCATCCGATATCGAGGCACACGTAAAATTGCAAACCAAATGTGCAGAACACAGCTAACGCGATCAATATCTTCACAACTTGTGCGGGACTGCAACAAGATATAAGAAAAATGTAAGAAAGACAAGAAGAAGAAAAAGAAATGTGACACTATATCCAGTGAAAAATGACTTTTGACGATTTCGACGTCGATTCGACGTCGATCGATAAGTAATTTCTCACTGAGTAATTCCATCGTGTCAAGGACTTACATTTCTTCTGTCGGTAGATTCAAAGTGATACTACCCAACGTCGTGTCCTGGTACTTCACGTACCCGAGGAATCCTAGGAAAATGTATACTAACGTAACCCCGGACATTCCCTTATTGAGGACCCCGCAAATTCCCACGAAGTGCTGCGGCGTCTTCATGCTGTTCTCTAACGGCATCACTACGCCGATCGCCTCCATAGCAAAGACAGTGATGCTGAAGAACTGTGGGAAGTTCTCGACGGGCGCCACTAAAGGCACTGTGTCCAATGGTGGTAAGTCCCACACTAAATAATAAAATGTTATACCGAGCCCCGTGCCCATGAAAATGTTCGCCACCATTGAAACTGGCGCGAGATATTTCAAGTCGGGTACCCAGCTGAGCAAGATCAACGGTATCAGCCAATAAATGGTGATCAATCGAAGACTATATTCGCCACTCTCAGGGCCTAGATAATGCTCGATGATCTGCTTGAAGTTCGCGGCGACGATGACTGCGTACACACTGCAGGTGCCAAAGTAGGTAGCAAACAAGCTGATTTGAATGAGATATCTGTGGATGTGAAAGAAACAATCACTCGTGAGTCGTTTGCGAACATATTTGCCTTACAATACTAAGAGAAGAAACGATCGATCCAACTAAAATTGTAATTATTTTCGGCCTCAATCATATTTCTATTCTGATATGAAAATGGTAGTAGTAACATGCATATAAGGTTATCATTAAAGCAGAATTTAATTAAAACAATAGTCTTCTTAGCTATAATTTATAGTAGTATTTATCCCTCTATATGATTATATAGTTACAAATACCAAACATTTTTTCTCAGCAAATAAACATCGTAGACGATGCATTTGAGAAAGATCAGGTACCTGGAGGGTTTCGCGAACTTCTTCGCCCACGGCGGTCCGGTGCTGAAAGCAGTCTCGGCAACGTCCGCGAAACTCATCTCCGTAGTTCGCGTTTTATAATACAATATGTGCGCGCATTTGACCTGAAAACCGAACGAAAAAGTCACTCAGTCCGTTATTTCTCGATTGATAGAGGAAAAATGCTTAATCGACAATAGGTTATTACTCTTTCGGCGACAATTGTGCGAACAATGTGAACAGCGTGTTTTTATCTCCGCGAACTCACCAGTATGTAGGCGCAGTGCGTGCACACGAACGCGACGAGTATCGTGGCGAAAACGCCTACGAGGAGTCCGGCATTCTTGAACGCGATGGGCATAGCCAATATGCCTGTGCCGAGGGAGGCCTTCAATAAATGCGTCAACGTGTCGCAATCCCTGGAAGCATCGCAATTTCGCTGTCGTTAACACTACCCTGAATTGTCGAGTTAAAATGAGAGAAATTGTGTCGCGCGATGAAACTATTTTTAATAATTTTTGTAAGCTCTTAATTGACATTGGCGATAAGTAAAATTATTAATGCATTATTCTTTCCTCATTATACATAAGTCGATTATTATGCAACGTGTTCAACATCGAATATGTAAACGTAAAATTTGCTCCCTATTCAAATTGCGCATATTTAAAAGGCGTAACAAAGTAAGTAATCTATAGCCGATTGTTAATTAAAGAGCGAAAAACATCAACCCTTACGTCGTCGGATTGTCCACTTTGCGTTCCGTAAAGGGATCGAAGCCCTTCCCATCGCCTTGTCCGGCTTCGACATCGCGTGGCGCGACTTGCACCTTGTATCTGAAGCGCAAATGGAAAGCGTCGTTAACAGCAGTTCGTTGTTTCAATCAGTTCTGCTTTCAAGCGAAATCAATATTAAGATCTTACTTGGCCGATAAAACGCCGTCCTTGAGATTGGATCCATCCTGAGGGAGGAAGGTGTCCATCTCCGTCGTCCCCTTATTGCTTTCGTCGGTCTACAAGAAAAATGAAAAAAAAAAGAATCAGAAGAGGTGAGATAATGCGAATAACAATGCGCTCTTTAATATTCACAGAACGGTGTTGAATGCAAACGAGCCGCGTGTAAGATAACTGACTGATACGAGTATAACGGAGATGTATAATACATCTTCAGTAATGAGTGCAATTATGAGCGTTGCAGAGAAAAACTCACCATATTGTCTCGTTTGTTGATATCTTATCTGCACGGCACCTAAAACAAAATGTAAAAGAATATAAATCGAGCTATTGTGCATATGTGACGGAAAGTATACATGAATTTAGAACAGAAGGAAGAGATCACGATAGCGAGCGGTATTTACACTTCCTGATTGTAGTTTATCTTTCGTTACTATGTTGATTGTGCACCCACAAATGAAACGAATCGATACAATAGCGAATGTCAGTACATAAACGCTCATACATGAACACACGCTCGCCTTTCTTTTTATCATGCAAAATCTTTATCTACCGGGGAATGACCTTCGACTTTAGGACTTTCTCGACGTCAAGCTCGCGCGAGGAAAAGGCCGAGAAGCGACAAAAATAAAATGAGATAATTCCCCGGCCCGCGGTTACTTTGTTTGTCACTTTTCACAAGTGTGACCGATGAATTGACGCAAAAACTTGTTATGCAAAGTGCAACAGTTTGCTTGAGTTTCCCTAACTGATACGGCGGTTGGAGGTATCTCTCAATATTGCCAATGACATATTATTGACTTACTATATCATTCTTGAAAAATTATCTCCATTGTTATTGTTATTACATACCGACGTCTCTGATCGCAATAGAGAAGAGTTATTTGCAAGTGTAACGTTTCAATTTGTACAGCTTCGTCAACAGCGGTGCACTGAGACGTACAGGAAAGCAAATATAGATAATAATAATAATTGTGCAAAGCAGAAGAATAAGATCCGACGATTGAAATCTAAAATTGCAGCGGTACAAGTAAAGGTTACGTGAGCCGTATTTCTGCGTGATCGTTTTTGAAATTTTATATTTTTAAATTACAAATCGCGTTTGCATGATAATTTCTGCATTTTTGCCTGTCGTTTTTCAGTGATAACCTTCATTAACAAGAAAACTTTTTATTTAATGATATTGAGTCTATTTCTTTTTTTAGCTAAACTTCTTTTCAGTGCTTTGTTACTTTTTTCTTCAACAGGTTATATGTTTGTTCCAAACTCTCAATTATTATTAAGTTCTATGTAATTAATTACCAAGTAAAAGAAATTAAAAGACCTTTGTTTGTAAGTGCTGGATTGAAGTACACGAAAATTATTAATAATTCAATAAACTACTATTATCTAATAATCATCTTTAATACTACAAGATTTGACCTACCGCAATGCATATAGCGAGCAACTTAGGTGTATCGAATTTATTCAACGTTCTTGTATGCGTAAGTATTGAAGATGATCCCAAGGAGAATCGAAACGTGTGTCAAATCTTATGATATTAAAGATAATTATTAAATAATCGTGGCTCATTGATCTATTAATAATTTTCGTGTACTTCAATCCAGTACTGAGCTCTCGCATGTTTATTATTTAAATCCTCTGCTGACAACGTTGGGATCGGATTCGACCCCAAACACAAGTTGCTGGATATGTTCCGCAACGTTGTCAGCAGAGGGTTAATATTTTTTATTTAAATAATTGTTTCACTCTAACATCAAAAATCACAACCTAGTTCAGCTAAGAAGAATAGACTTACTGACGACAGTAAGATTATATTGTCAATATGCTCGAACATAAAAATTCCCTACGCGTGTCATCGCAGACAAATCGCACTCGCGAACGAGATTATATTATACACACAGCTTCGTATGAGCGCACACATGGAAGAGCATTAAAACTTTTGCTACTTCCGGGTTCGTGAACTTAACCTTGAACAAGACAAACAATCGCGCTTTTGTATAAACATGACGAAGTAAGCGCGACAATCCAGTATTCTAATTATGTTTCTAAGAAGGTGAACAATAGATATGACGAATAGAATAAAACCGTACACAAGTCATTAGAATTTTTTACAAACTACTTTACGTCTCATTCATATAAGAATATCGCAGATGAACGCAGTTATGTGGGTGAAACCACAAACATCGATTGGTCTCGAGAGTTTCGCATTACTCGAAAGAATAACGATTGCGAGACTTGAATAGCACTGATTGATATATCCTCAAAATTTCGATTAAAAAGGGCGAAGAAATAACGCTTAACAGAAGATTTGGATGTATAACGAAGGAACAACAGTTTGTGATAAAACTAATCTTGAAAAGTGTGGCAAGTGCAAAGTGTTACTGCGACGTTGAAGCGAGTCAATCGCGTTCTTTACAGTGTGTGATTATATCTTTGTGCGTGAAACACACACTTTCGCGTGCGTGTACGTGAGTGTGCGTGTGTAGAATTTCAATTCGCGATGATAGCGTCGATGATCCGCACGAATACTGCTGATAATAATAGTGGCAGCTTCCAGCTGTCGGATAAATGTCAACCAGAATTGTACCGAGGCAAGAATAAAAATAGTGAGAGGGATGAACGTCTAATTAGATGCAACGATGATGCATCTTCCTCGAATGGCTCTATTTTAAAAGTCGATACGAGTCGGAGACGTTGACTTCTTCCGTGCGCGCGCGCGCGCGGGACCGGCTAATAGATGAATAAGATGTAATAATCGACACAGAAGGTCTATTTACACGAATGCTATTTCGGAATATCAGGTGTGTACGCTTTCTGTCCGCTTTGGCACGCGCGCGTGATTATCGGATGTCTGATAAATACATATCACGTGCAAGCTGACGTACACGAGCACGTCTTACTTCATTATCGCTTAAATAGCGAAATAGCGAAATTGCCTCCACGTTATAATGTTAGTAGTAGTGATTATAAAGCGGCTGCTGGCGTTACTTGTATAGTCGTTACTATTATAATCATTACTATACAAATTATTTTTTCTTAGCAATAACTTGAACGGCGTCATTTTCTTTCGCAAGCGGAAATAACACAAAGCAATGTGACACCATTATATTTCTTTGTATAACACGATAACGAATGTATAATTTTATCTTTATCGTCATTTTGCGCATGTATAACATATCTATGAGGTGTCTGAGGTTGGATGTCTCTCATATCTCGTATATATATATATAGATTAGATCAAACGACTGAACACAAAACCATTCCTCTACCATTTTACAAACAACCATGTAAAATGAAATTGAATTATTAATTAAACAAAATTAGAACGATCACGCGCGATACGGCAGATGAGTTGTGATAGCGACGCCTGTAGTCGTGTGCTTGTCAATTGAGTCAAACTGAAACAAAAAAGTTATCTACCGTTTTGTAAGTAATCACATATAATTTTAGTTTATTATTAATTGAATAGTTTATAATTAATTATCGTGCAAAATCATATACGTCAATCCTCTTTAATTAAGAACACACAACCTACGTAATTTGCAAAATGGCAGAGGAATTTCGTATTCAAGTTGATTTAACTTACATGTAAATGAAATACGGTACACTCATTGTAAGATAGTGATATCTAGTGATAGTGTATATGAGATGAATGAATCGCAAGGGAAAGAAAAAACCTACAAAACTTATTAACAAGAGCAACGAAAGTGTTAATGATTAGTAGCTTCTTGAGTAATGAAGACGGTAATTTGACTTCGTCAAAATAAGTAATGCACACAATGACGGATTATTTATGAAAAGTAACTTCCACAACCCTACTATTACTCCATATAAAAATGTCCAAAATAGGGATATCCTGTGGACGTCACGATATCTAAATATCCTAAAGATATCACGACATCCATAGGATATCCCTATGATGTATTTTGGATATTTCTGTATGGAGTAATAGCAGGGTTGGAAGTTACTTTTCATAAATAATCCGTCATTGTGTGCATTACTTATTTTGACGAAGTCAAAGAGTTCTCTGATATATTTTAAATATTTCTGATGTGAGGATACGCGACACAAGACTCTTATAAGATCATTAAACACTGCGGATAATTAAAAAGCGGTATTTCCCCGCGGGAGAAGTCGACGACTCCGCCGATGATCTCGCAAGGCACGTACTCTAGAGTAGAAAGCTTCGGCTTCGATTGTGGAGAGCGAGGCGAGGTGTACTATTCGCGATCGTCGACGATCTAATCGCGTGAGCGCTGACTGCCAGGAATATAATCAAGCGGCAGTGGCTCTCCATAATTATCTCAAAACGTGATATCGATATTATACGGCGGCTCAATAAAACCGAACTCGAGGATGACGAGTCACAGGCGAGCCGCAAATCGGATAATCGTATCGTCGTAATAGACTTGTCCAATTAACGTGATAGAGCCATTCGTACTTTCACTCGCCGCGACAATTACGCGAGGTCGGTCGTTGGGACCAGCGCTTAATCTGCCGATTAATTGCGGTTAATTCAGCGCGGTCGCAACCGATCCGAGGCGATTTTCGCCGCGTGCTTCAGCGGCGATTAGACGGAGACTTTCTTGTGCGCCGCGTTTGTCCTTCGGCTGCAAGAAGCATGACATGCTTTATGCAAAACTATACATAAAAAGTTAAGGTCACGCGTCTATCGCATATATCATGAGCTCTGTATGTGTGCGTCCCATATCGCGCAAAACCAGTTACTTCAAATTAAATTAAACTGGAGGACATATAATTGAGCACTTTTAAACGAGTATCTCGCAGCCGGCAGGAAACACAACACGTGGCGTTCCCCTTTCCCGTGAGCAGAGGGAAGCAAACAAAAACAGATAAAATTATTTATAAACGAGTCTCTTTATGTTTATACATTGTGTTTATGTTTACACTGAGCAAAAATACTTTAAAATTTATTTATGGGATGCAAAACTTATTTTTGCGTGAAATAAAGTTTAATTCTGTGATTTTAAGCTTAATGTCCCGCAAATAAATTTTCAAGTATTTTTTTCTCAACGCACACACACATCGTTGGAAAAGAGCACAATTTTTTATCTGGATGCAGATAGCAAATCGACTTACGTACAATAACATCGTGTGAGACGCACGGTGGATGTGGTTTTCGTACAAGGAACTGATTGACGACTCGGAGCGAAAACGCGACGGTTTGTGTATGAATAATATCGTTGAGTAAACACCAGACGATGTGGTAACTATCACCACTGTTCTCGTCTTATCATATTCCGTTACTTTACATCGGAATTGCACGACAGACAGCAACGCTTTCGATTGCATTATATGGATCGATGAACGACTAATTGCGAAAAGAGGTGTGAAAATAAAACAGACCGGGATAATTGCGCTATTGCTAAAAGCGCGGATAGTTCGATTAAATTCTTCGATTCGAAACGAGTAATTGGATACTCTTCACTGACAGAAGAGTTAAGCACTCGAGATACTTATAGAAACAAGTGATAGCTATCGATGCAAGTTCTTCATAGACAAACCCGTTCTTGTCGCGCACGCTAATAAAAAATCTCGAGATCTTAGAATCTCATCTTCCATCATTTTTACTGCGGTCCGTAAGATGAAATTTCCAGCTTACAAGATTACGCCTCGAGGAAACGGCAAGGAGTAGGTTTCTAAGACATATAAGAAAATCTAGAGGAGGACCTGGGATCACATGGTATGCCTGAGAATATGCTAAAGATATCTACGAGCAGCTAAATATAATTCAACATTCGACGAATGTCAACTACGTTATATCGCTAAGATACAATCAATTATGTGACGAAGAATCTAATTTAATTACGCGCTCAAATGATGTCGGTTTCGGCAAACTGTAACATACTTCGGTCAGCAGTTTCTCCGCTATATCTTCGAACATGGGTGTATTTTAAAGACATACAAATAGCATGCCACTGGTGTGATATTACATTAAAAATGTGTCGACATATTACTGACGACTGCAAGATATCGCATAGCGATCCAACTCAAATACGAACATTCCAAGTCTGCGTACAGACCACATATCTTGGTCGATCCTTACGATTCTTCGGGGAATCGTCAGGAGTTTTCAGAAGGTGTAGCCGAAACCGGTTACTACCTGTTATAAAAAGCTGCGAGTGATCTTTCCATTCGTCGTTTCTATCGGTGCATCAGACACATCGAACACCTGTGTCGACGAACGAACCAACTCGTCCTCTCCCCCTTGTCCGTCCAGACGGTCTTCGCCGCACCGTGGAAGTGCACACGGTGGAACGTTCGTCGACACACGTCCGAAATATCGGCGAGCAGTTACATCATACGATGTGCGCTGACGGGCGCGATAAAGTCGCCATTGCCATACAAGTCGCGCGCTTACTCCACGTGGTTGCAATTTGTGCTAGTTGCCCGCCGAAGAAAGTCACCGTATGCATTCGTGCCGGCGGACTGTCGGAGATAAACCGGCCGATATTGTAACATAATATTATGTAACGCTAATGATAATGTTGGCAGTATAGTAACGATTATTCGTGTGACGATGCAGTAATAATGACAATGCAATAACATCGCGTAACGTAATATAGGGATCACCGGCGACGAATGTGGAACATTATGAGTTCACATAGTTCAATATAATTGTATATCCGATGTAACCGCCTGAGAGGCCAATTTCTATGAAAATTACTCTTATTGATTTCCGTCACTGGATTTTTACTCGCTTCTGATTATCTTTAGTTGGCATTGCCAACTAAATCCCGCGTTTTATCAACTATAACGTAGCTGTGCATTCTCCTTTCACGATGCCATTCCAATGGAAAAGAAAACGGTCGCGTAGCTTACAGGAAACTGATTGTGGCACACTTCGACCTTTTCTGAACGCTTCAAATGTGTTATAATCAGCTTCCAGCAAGTTAACGACCGTTTCATTTTCTGAAGTGACTGGCGTATCGTTTTTTTGTTTTGGATAGTTACCAAGAATTTCCATTTCTCCGTAGTAATTGCACGATGCGGCGTGATTTTGAACGCGTGAATGAAGATCCCGAAATATACTGCTGCGTAGGAGGTCAGACTACTGTCCTCGCGGCGGGACGCCGCGAGAACAGGTAAGAAACTAAAGATCGATCAGAGGAATAGAGCTGTTCACCTGCCGAGTTACTATACTCGCGACAATTTCTAGGTAGCGAACGCCTAAAAACTAATACCGTCGCCGGTGTGTATGTGTGTTACCTCATTCCTGAGTTCAGGTTTCCTCGTCGCGACGATCGGCGAGCAGCCTCGGAGCACGCCGTTCCCTCGTGTCTACGTAAGCGCGCGTACCGCACGAAAGACCGTCGCTGACTAGCGCCTCGAGTTTCAACGGAAACTTCGTGGCTTTCCGCCACGCCGTCGCCAACGCTGCCACCGCCGCCCGCGGTCTTCTGCGCGACTTTATAGCGAGGAGGTCGTCGCTCGAACGCGCCACCGCAATTTCAGCCGATCGCTCTTCGAAATTCTCGACCTTCGGAAACGCAAGCAAAAGTAATAAATTCAGTTTGACAAAGACAGGACTCGCGAAGACTTGTGACGATTTCCTCGTAACTTTGCATATCTCTAAGTACTCACGGCTCAGCGAATCGCCGCGATATCGCGATGCGCTAATTTCATGGATCTACTGAAATAACGTCGCTCGCTCCGCACGTGTTTGGCTACGATGTCAAAAAGCGCGCCACTGCGCTAGCCTAGAATTAAGATAAGGATAAGCTAAGAATAAGGATAGCTAAGAATTAAGATAAGTCGCAACTTCAAATACGTGAACTTGGTAGTGAGCTTTTTGTTACACGCATAACGTCCCTCACCTAAATGTATCGTGTGACTCGTCGGTGACAAGCCAGAAATGGCGGCTCCGTGAAGGCGTCTAACAATAAAATCTGGCCCGCAGCACGTGGGTAAAGCGCGACGCGACGCGCGACATATGATGAAATTCGGCGGGCTGATATCATCAACGTCGCATGCGACCAACCGCGCGCGCGGATGCTTTATTCATTATCGCACAGTATACAAACGCGCGGGCACGCAATTCCTGCTATCGCATCTTGCATAATCGATCCAAGTGTATACGTGTATATGTATATTACATGGTCGCTGAGCAGGAAAAAATTTCGCGCTCGAATGGACGAAGCTTCCACAGACGGCCGTAATCTGAAAATTATACTTTAATTAATTAAAAAGTTATACTCTTAAGCGACAAATTATTTCATTTATATAGCTATTTCTTATTTATTTGTTATTTACGTCACTGTTCATTTTTATTTCTAACATTTGTTAGGCGATACCAATGGGAGACTGCTTCAAAAAATTTTAGTTGAGTCACTCAAAAGCTAGTTAGGGAACTCGTGACCAGTCGATAAAAGTTCTCATTACGTCTTTGAGGTCGGAAGACAAACATCTTGGCTAACTGGGCGCTTCTGTTGGACTTAATAGCCGTCTAGAGTATTAATTGGTCCTTATGCGCGATGACGGGATCACAATTTCGCCCAATCGAACACTGATCACATAAATAATCGGCCAGGCCGAATCGTAATCGGTGGTCACCAAAGAGACGACAACATGGCGTGCATATAATGAGTCTGTGCTCATTTAGCGCACGAGACTGCTAAATGATTAATTAATTAATGTTCCGTGTGAGAATGCGAGTTAGCTGGAATTAAATATCCGGAACATGACATTAGTTGTTACGATAAGAGAGAGAGAGAGGGAGAAAAAGTGTGTGTGTGTGTGTGTGTGTACGTGTGTATTACTGTATTGTCGTATTAGAAAAGCGACGTAAAATATTATTTCGTGATAATTTGTCTTGACAATCGTAAATTGAGGAGAGAAACGCGATAAAAAATGCATCTCAGAGGAAATTCGCACGAAAATCTTAGTTTGTATAATAGAATAGAGACCAAACGAAAACTCGGTAATGAGGAAGGATACCTCTACTTGATTTCTTTTGCAAATTGGTGTTATGTCTTTCGTAAATTTGTTTCCCACGTTTTATGAACAAACCTATACGGCACCACTCGGAAGACAAAGCATTTTTCTGCAGCACAATTTAAAATATCAAACAATATCTTTGTTATCGCGTCTGAAAACATTCATCTGAACATTTAACTGCATTAAAATTTTATTGAAGCAACTGAGACTAATTCATTGAAGACAAGATATTTCACAGGAATATTTATATTACTATAACCGAATTTCCGTCTAGTCCCCGGAAACAACAGAAAATCAGTTACACAAATTACAGAGTTATTTTTTCTACGTGAAAAAACGATGTTTGAGAATATTTCTAAATGTTTAGTTTAAAAAATGTATACCTAAATACTAACGAGTGTTCTAATGACCACGAATTAAAATAACTAGAGCTCAGAAAAAAATATGTAAAGCCGATACATCTACTTCTAATTAGAGCGACACTATATTATCTTTTCATATCCACGCATCCATCGTCCTATACACTATTCTACAGTCTTCAAACGCGTAGTAGAACAGTATATGCGTTACAAATCAATACTCCTTACCCCGTTTTACTGTCTAACTGATGAAAAAATAGACTTGAAATTTGAACTCTGATAGGCATAACAAAAAACAGAAAAATGCGCACGATATGCGTAACGGGTCATAGTTAAATGCAGCTGTCATCCACCGATAACCTATCAACATTTATCCACTAAAATTCTTAATGAAAATTTTTCCCGAGTGAATTGTACATTTCCGCTGTATCGTCTGGTTTTTCTGCTTGGCTGAATAATTATCAAACAACCGACTCGAACATTATTCTTGTCACATCAACATCATTCTCCTGCAATTTCTCAAGCTGCAGTTAACCCATTAATTGTGCACTGATCTTATCACATGAAGCATTGTTTGAGAAATACTTAGGATTAACTGTAACTAATCCTGAACAGGATAATTTACAATTTTTCTAATAGCAATTAACCATGTTAACTACTAGTACCAAGCCGGAGTACGGCAGTCACGAGAAAAAATTACCACTGGACAATTGCAGAGAATATTATCTGGTCTTATTTGAATTTTACGTGAAAGAGATATCGGGCGACCGCGTGATGGAAATCAACCAGATGTTCTCCATTCCTACAACTGTCTATTTTGAATTTTTCGATTTCGTGAATGATAATGATCTAAAAGTGACTCCGGTGGATCGCCTTTTCCAACCACAGAAAGACATCGCCAACGACGTCGAAGTCTTCAATGTCGGGAAATCAGTGCTCTTCACTGTCGATTTTAAGATAACGCGTAATGTCAAACTGATCGTAAAGTTCATCGTGAAAAAGCAGATTCCTGAAGACATCAATTTGGACCTGAAAGATATCCTGGTGGGTACTGGCGAGCTGGATCTGTCCGATCAGTACAATGCTTTACGGTTGGAGATGCTGCAGTGCTGCCAACAAAGTGCCAAGACGTTCGACGGTCAAGTACCGTTGTTTCATGACATAAACGAGGCAGGGAAACTGAATGTCTTCGTGAAAATGTCCAATTTTGGCCAGACGATTATTACGGACTTCAACGCGCCAATGCCGCAAGATTCTAGGACGTTCGTGTTCGGAGCACAAACAATTGATCAAATATCGATGTACAAATTTCGCAAAGTGGACTCTACGGATGACCTCACCCAAAACTCCAACAAGAATGTGCAAGGTTCTGTAAAGGATCCTATGTGTCAGTTGGAAAAGCATTGCGAACCGCTTGAAGAGGCGATGGCTGTAAAAGAGAAAGACGAAGGAACAGAAGACGTGCGAATGGGTACAACGACAGAAAAGAGATCGAAGAACACGGTATGTGATTAAGAAAAGCAATAAATAAGTGAATAAACTAAATCTAATATTCATCTTCAGACATCAAAAAATCCACAAAAATCGAACCCACATCATTCGTCCGAGTCTTATGGTAAGCCGATCGTTCTCAAAGTGTCCGGTCTATTCGACAACGGCAACGACGAGAAGCCTACCGTAACGGTTACTGATGAAAGCGTTGCTGCAAAATCAGGCAATTCATCTAATCCTAGTCACGATGTCTTCGTTCTGCGCATCGGCAAGAAAGGCCTTGTCGGTATCGGTGAGAAATCCGACATACAGTTAGAGATGAAGACTCCGAAAGGACCTGAAAGAAGACCGCCGATTAGATATGAAACTAGAGAGATGCAGACAGATGTTAAGGAAGAAGAAGTGAAAGATCGTAAGAAGAAACCGAAGAAGAAGAAGAAGAAGAAGAAGAAGAACTAATAAAAGCATTGTAATCAAATTTGGATATAAAGTTCTGATAGATTCAAATAAATTCGAAAGAAAATCTTATTCTTTAATTTTCATACTGACAATTTTGCAGATATAATTGTAACAAATGTGACATTTACGTTTATATACATATATCATTTATATGTATATATAATTTATGTACATATAATATCATTTATATGTTTATATAATTCATATAATCCGCGCGTGTTTAAATTCATTGTACTATTATATTACAAATATATTGTCAACAATCTCATTCTTGATTTTTTTGGAAAATACAACGTGAATATCATTTAGTTCGGATTAAATGACCATAAATGAGGCTTCCTATACAATGAAAAAGTTATCCAACACTGTTTCAGTTGAACGACGTATGTAATTGTCAACTTAAAAAATTTTGTTATATCAGTAATGACACTTTAAATTAATTGTAGTGATAAATAACACGTAATATTAAATATAAATTTCTAAAGTAACCAAAATAAAATCGCTGAAACTGTTAACATTAAATTATAAATTAGATGGAAGTAAAAATAAAACATAAAATGTGATAAAGTAATAAGTAAATCACAAGATACTAACCTTGCTATGTTGATTAATCGGATACGGTAAATACACGTAAATTGTAAAAAATAATGGCAAATTTGTTTTTGATGGAGTTCCTGGTTGACAGTGTCGACCTTGTTGTTATACCTGCGATTCACGACAAAAAGTTGCGCTCTAAAATATGCGTCTCGTTTCAAGTAAACTCCTGTGTTTGTCGAGCTACTTATTAAACCTCGTTGAGATTATGATAACTGTTTTTACTGTAGATACTGGATCTGCCGCCGTTAAATATATATGAAGAACCGCAAGATTGCAAGTGCGAAAGCAGTCCACAATACGTGTTTAAGAAAGGGAAATCCTGCTTATTTGCACTTTCGCATTCCATAAACAACAAATTGTGCAGTTTTCCTGTGAATATAAGTGTCTACAAGGAGTTCCCGTTTGAAGCGGTGCCGGATGTGATACTAATCGGTCTTTTCCTTTATTTCTTAATACACACAATTAATTTCTCTTTAACATGATTATTATTGAATCAAAGTTCTGTAAAATATGGTAAAAATATGGTAAAATATGGTAAAAATATGGTCCTTCACGGAACAGGCAGTCATCAAATCCAAGCTTGCAGCCTCATAAACTATGTGATTGAAAAAAAAACTTGGGAAACGATAAAGAATACCTTTAAGATCACCACGGCAACAGGCCAATGCGTGGGTCACGTCACGGTTTTCATCCGCGCTTCGTATTTCGCCGACAAGATCATCACGGAGTTTCAAATTCCCGAAAACGAGAAGCCGTATCTCTTCAAAAGTTCTATGAAAGATTATATATTTCAATGTAAAAGAATTGTCCCCGATACGCAACCCGAAGAGACAGTCTACGAACCGGCAGAAAGGATGCAAAAAACATGTATTATCATGTAGTGGACGAACCAGTCAGATGACGCTAAATGTCCGTCGTGCTAAATCGTTTGACGAATAGCGGCGAGAGGATGGAAACTAAAAAACTGTGGTCGCGTCGTCAAGAAAGAACGGAGTTGTAATTACATTCAGAGCACCATCAAGCGTTCATAAATATAAATTCCTATTTCTATCCAGGTAGCAGAAACTTCTAAAAGACGTCTTAAAAACATTTTAAAGATGTCTAAAAGATGTCCTACTTTTCCAGATCTCTTTCAGCGGTTTCTGCTACCTGAGTGATAAACAAACGTGTTCCTGAAAATCAACAGGTCTCATCGTTACTGAAAATACAAGGAGCGCTGGAAAACGTTCAACGGCCTTGGCTCATCCGTCAATCGAGTCGCCGAGTCGTCTCAATCCTCCTCCGACGTGCACGCGCTCCTGCGTGTATTTAGATCTTCGTTTATTCCTGTCCACCGCATTCGAAGGGGCGTCGCGGCGGAGCCAGGGGGATGTAATGTAACCCGACGGGGGAGCGAGGCCCGGTCGACGACACCGCCGTCGCGGCTCTCGTTCCCGTCAACCCCTTGCCCAGCATGGGGTGTTAGGCCGATATTGTCGCGTCTGCGCGATGAAACGCGGAGGAGACAACAGCCGGACTGGATGTCCGTGGACGCCTCCGCGATAGAGACGTGCCGCGTCGTGCGGCGTCGGGACGCGCATTAACCCTTCGCCGTCGACCTCGTGAGGGAGACGCCGCCTCGTCAGGAAGTGTTGATGGCAGCCCGGCGACGCGACTACGACCTGGATGCATACAAACGTCGGCGCGATCATGAACAGTTCGCCGCAGAACACGAGCAGCGCTGGGACGCAGCGGCGGGCCGGTGTCGACAACAGCGACGAAGAGGAATGGAGCGGCGTCGTCGAATGTGTAATTATGTCCTCTTCGTGTTTTGCTTCTTCATCATACCTTCCCGTTGCGATTCCCGGTTCCAGTTGCCGCCAATACTGGCAGGTAGCAGGAAATCTGTTCGAACTGACAAGTCGTCGACCGATCGAACATTTACCTCTGACTTTTTTCTTAATGATTACCTGTAAATTTACCGATGTATTACTCGTCGTTCTCGTGACGGAGCTTGCGGAGATATCGTTTGGTTGTGTCGGTAATTATTTGTGTGCTGTTACGGCGTTTACAGCTCTCTCTTTCTCTCTCTCTTGTGACACAGCTTATCTTCCGCCTTATTATGTAATCATATATGATATTTGCGAATGAATGATAACGGCAAGCGTCTCTTTTTTCAGGCTGTTCTTGAGAGAACCAAGTCCGACAGAGTTGTGCGTGCGGATGAGGATAGACGTCGTCGAACGATTATCGTTGAGAAGAAGAACGGCACGTACGGTTTCACGTTACAGGTGACGCTTTCATATTGGTAATAGTAAACGTGATCCTGCTCTGGAGTCTATAAGAGTCTACTGTTACTTACTCCTATCCGTCGCAAACTTTAAACCTAAAAATTCCAATAAATTAATCAGACTGGTTTTATGTATAAGAAACGTCCCGAATACAATACAATAATAATTTGATCAATACTCACTCCAACAGAGCTACGGGATACATTACAAAAGGGAGCAGGAGATAGAGATGATAACATATGTAGATTACGTTGAATACGATGGACCAGCGTTTAAAGCCGGTATGAGAGAGGGTGACGTGATACTTTCGATAAATGGCCACGAGATGGACAGAGCTGATCATAAGACTCTGGTGACTTTTATACAGAACTGTGATACAAGAATACGAATGGTCGTGTCCTTTGAAGATTGTGTGAGAAAAGTAAGGACAAACCCGAGATTCCCTCATCATTAATATTTCATATTATTTATATTTTCTTTTACAACGTAAATACATAGATCTTACATAGATCTTAAGAATTGTGAGACTCTCGCGACTTTAAAACTTTATCAAGCCGTCTCACAGAAACTCACAATTTCAGGTGGAATTACACATGCGTTACATCGAGCTGCAACGTGCCCTCCAGTCTCGTCTAGGCGAGCTGGAAAGACTGTGTGAGCGAGAAAGGTCTATCCTGATGGGCCGGTGGAAAACCCATTCACTGCCAGCGCGCAAAAGAACGCCTAACAGCATTGTCGGCACTAATCCCAATCAACCATCGCCTTCCTCCAGTTTCAACTCCTCCACGATCCAATGCTGCCGACCTGCAACCTCGACCGAACACCTTCTACTTTATAATGTGGTAGCTGCTATTTGTATCTTGACAATAACAGAAATATCGAAATGCGTCGTATTGATTATAAGATCTAAATAACAAACTTTTGCCTTTCAGTTTGCGGATGGGCGACCCTGTCTCATCCCCCGTAGCGCCGCTTGTCTCGTGACAGTTGGACCGCCTCGTTCTCGTAGCGATCATCATCATTTCCTGTCCAAGATGTCCAGCGAATCTGCAGTGACCACGTCATCGCGTCATAGTTATCATCAGGCGAACGGCATGACTGGTACACCCGCAAAAAGCAAGTCTCACAAATCTTGCCAACAGCAGTCGTCCGTTACCGGTGAAGGACCGTCGTTACACACGACTCCTCAAAACAGTCTCTGCGTTGCTTGCATCTCCAGCGCAAATCGCCGCCGTGAGCAGTCTGACAGCGGCAGTTTGGACGCCTACGATCTTGCCAGTCCTTGTTGCGATCCAAACTGCGTACCTAGTCGTCGACGTCGTGAGAAACAACGACGTGCTCGCAACGAACAGACTTTCCATCAACAGCAGCAGCAGCAGCAGCAACAACAACAACAGCAACAGGTCAATCTTCAACATCATCATGTTCAAGGACCACGAGACCAACAGCAGCAGCAGCAACAGCAACAGCCTAATACCCACAATTGTCCTCGCACGTCTGGTCACAGTCTTCATTCTATTACTAGCAGCGACGTCTCGACGACGGCTGACAGCGTCGCTTCATGTTCCACCAGCCTCAGCACGGACACCCTGTACTGGGATCCTAGCGTGCACCAGCGACCACCGCCGTGCCTTCAATACGCCAAACCAAAGTCATGGGACAATCTGACGACAAAGGCCTTCGGTGGATACGGTTTTGGCTACGGTTACCTGGACACCGCAACCGTTAAAACTCACAGCGCGGAACGACCTAGCAAAGGATCGCACGGTCGAGCGAAGATGCCCGTCGGTACTGTGCAGAGGAAAACCAGCACCAGTAGCAGCACCGCGTATTCTGCGGCAAGCACAGTCAGTCGACATGGCTTTCAGCCTACCAAGTCAACAGAGAGTCTCTTGATACCACCGCCATATCAGGGCGATTTGGACGCAGCTAGTTTGAGCTGCGAGTGTCTGGACGGCGGGCCCGGGTCGCGATTTGCGCCTGTAGTACAGCTAGACAAACACAAGCGGGCCGACGAGACGGCGGGTTACATACCACCAGCACACGCGCAGATCAGGCATCGACGGTCTAGTCATTCCGACGGGAAATTACGGGCTATCAATAATTCCGAAGTCACGCGATTGTAATAATCTCACTCTTTCAGTACTGAAGTCTAATATGTGCTAATAAAGCGTCGACGTAATGCTGCTGTTTGCGTTTTATTTGCCTAATCGTGCGGGGCGAAAATGGATCCAGATGGTGATGGATTGTATCATCGAACACATTGGCGTGTTGTGAATTTTTTGGAAATCTCAACGATCTCTGTATCTTTTGGACTTTTCTGCTCGCTCTTACATTTCTAAGCTTTTGTATCTTTAGAAAACAATTACAGATACCTCACACTACTCCATCTCTCTCTGTTTCTCCTTCACTATCGTCGCATTGCGCAAATCGCGTTCCTTGTTTTTGCTTCATACCGAAGATCTGCGTTACCTACCGCCAATTACACCTGCGAGATCATTGCAAACAATCGTTAGTCCCTCCTCATGACACCGAATTCAGTTTAACAGAATAATTCCTTGAACTGAATTGATCGTATTTTGATGATACTTCTTAACGTACTGAAAGCTGAGAAAAATTTCAATTCAATAAATACTATTATTTTTCAACATACTCATTTGTAGTAAAATGTTCTATAACTCAACATATTCGCTTTAAACTTATAATGACCGCTACAATACGCTGTTGGAGTTTGGCCATTTCGTTCATATACAGATATAAAGGATACTTTTTAACTATACCCGCATATTTTTTTTCGTATATACATACATACATAGGTACATACATACGTACATACATGAATGCATTTGTGCACGCATACACAGACGGTATACACGATCGATTTGCACAATCTTGCTGCGTTCCTCTTAAATATATATCTATGTGTGTATATATTACGTGTGCCTATATGCGTGCCAGTTCATGGTGTGCAACAAGTATGTATGCAACTTATCATACATGTGTATCTCCGTGTGTGTATGACTGCATGTTTGTACATGTGTATTGAATCTCGCGTCGTCATCAAACTATCGAGCCAAAAAATAAATTATGTAATTACCTGCTCATCTTTTTTTCTCTAAATATACATCCAAGCTTTACACGTCGTGGATACTTAAATCCTCTCGAGCTACGGGAAGTTTTGTGACTGGATTCTGACTGAGATTCAACTAGTTCAACTAGTTTTGTCCTATACAACACCTGACAAAATCACTCTTTTTCTCTGAGGATTCTACGTACATTAGTAGATCCACAATTTAGAATACGTCATCAGAATCCTGGAATTTTCGTGTTTTTTAACTTTTGAATTTTCCTTCCAATGCACTTTGAGATAGTTTTTTTCCTCAGTTTCTTAGGTTTTCAAATTTCCAAACTTTTTAAGTGCTAATGACCCTGAATTCTTAGGATTTACGACGTTTAGGAATTTTCGAACTTCAAATTCTCGAGTATCTAGGATTTGTGTATCTTTAGATTTTCGTATATCGTCTGAGATTCTAAAATTATCGTAACTAAATACTATGTAATTTATCAAATCTAGGATGATTTAGAATCCTTGGATCTCAGAATTTAAGTTCCTATTGCTAAATTCTTAACTTGCTCTAATTTACAGGATTATAGGAAAGATAAGCTAGTTGTCTAAGTTCTCGCGCGACTGCAACTTCCGTCAACAATAAAATAGTTTCGCATTAGATCCTTGAAGCATCGGATGCGTTTCTCATACGGGGATGGAGCAGATCGGATTGTGAAAGGGTCTGCCTCGATGTTCTCTAGATAGAACGTCGGGCTCCAAAAGACACTTTCAAATAGCCTTCTTCGAATTTTCGTTGTTCGCAGCAAACAAATGCGTATACTCTGCACGGTTCGACAATTGTGTCAAGACGTCGTCTGCAAGAAACAAACCGGTTTGAAGAAAAACATTTTTCTAGCATTAATACTAAGATAGAAGATAAAGATAAAAGGAGTCGGGAACAGAAATAAACACTTACCGAAGCTCACATCGTCCCCATCGTTTCTAGCCTGCTGAAAAATCTTGTTGGATTCTTCTGATTGTATATGTAGCGATAACCTCAGTGCTTTCCTAAGTTCTGATTGAGTTAAGCACAACGTTGTCTTCGAACCGCAAACCTGTGACACAATGTGATCGTGTAAAAATAAAAGTTCATATGCTATGTACATGGTGCAGTTATATATAAACGGTCGGTACTCACATTGAACGCAATTTCGACCTTATCTAATTCCGAAGACGCATTTGCAGTGGCTAACACAGTGAAGATATATTCTTGAAGATCGATCTTTCCTTGCCCCAGCTGAAAAAGAAATCAAATATAACTCATCTCTAATGTAACTTAATTCAAAATTTTAACTTAGACATTTTTAACTAAAAATATATGCATATTATGTAAGTTGTGTGATATATGTACGAACCCTGTCGTGAATACGAAACAGTTGTTGTGTAGCTGGATCCTTCTCGTCTAATCTTAGAATCTGTGCAAATTCCTGCAAGTTCACATCATCGAAATTATTCATCTTCTTCTGAATGAGCTCTTCTTCCGTTTTCGATGCCACTAAACTATAACAGAAATCGAAACGATCAAGAAAATATCTTTGTGTTACAATGCCTATCACACGTTTCTACTAATTAATGTCGCTTACCCCAGTTTGCACCGAAGTTTATGAGTTTTCACAATACTGGACGCATACGGGAGATGCAGCTGATGAGCCTTTTGAATTATCCGACAGTCATCGTACGTGTAATCCGACACAGGAATTTTCAGAGCTCTGCGTAAAGCAAATAGATCACGTTATCGTTGCGAAGTTGTATCGATGCGAAAAGAAAGATTTTGAGGAAACATTCCATACGTTTTATAACACACTTACTCAGCCATAAGACGTCGCACGTTGTTCGCGTACAATTTGGGATCCATCTTCTCCGCTTCACTCGGATTATATACAGGAAGGAACTCGATCTCGCAGCTGCTATTTAATTGCGTCAATGTCAACCATAATAGCTTCAATCTACAATTTGATGCAACCAGATGAAAATTAAGAAAATCAGAAAAACTAGGTAAATCATCTCGAAGCGAAATTAATTAGACAAATAAATCTCTCTATACTTACGCGCCAGGACCTTCCCAAGTCCATGTTACCGTGTCCAGCTTGTTGGGATACCTGATACACACCGGTTGCACGGGCACGCCTGGATAAAATGCGCCCGATTTGAACGTGATCAAGCATGACCGGTTTGTACAAGTTCCCTCGGGAAATATCATAACCTGCAGGAAGAATCGGTCAATTGCACCACAGATGCGAAGGTAGTGATTTGCGAGAAGTGCACATCGTCAACCTTGATTGCAACCTAGCGTGCGTCTCGCAAACCATAAATTATACTGAGCATTATAAAGAGCAGTACAGCCTCTATAAACGTACTGTCTCTTTCTTCTTCTTCTTCCTATTTTCTTTTCTCTTTATTAACACTACTATTACAAATCGCTGGTATTTAATAAATTTCATTGTGTATTTTATAAATATTATTTTATTTGATATCTCTCTCTTTATTTTATTTGATATCTCTCTCTTTATTTTATTTGATATCTCTCTCTCTTATAAGTTGCGTGATTTTTGTCATATATGCTGTAAATAATTATCTACTTTACTCACCTGCGGCCAATCCTCCTTGGAAGTAGTTCTTTCGATGATCTCCTTAATAGTATTCTGTCGGGAATTGGGATCGTCTCTCCACACATATACCGGCTGCGTATAGTTGATGAGCTCTACATATGAGCGTCGAACATAAAAGATATAATGCGAATATAGTCAATGTACAAACGTCAAAGAAATAATTACAACTCGCAGCACGTTCATTCGTTCGAGTCATTAAGGCTGCGTTCGCTTTGGGCGCTTACATACTGTAAGCGTCATTCTATCTTAATCGCTCATTACATGCGGGAAGAAGACAGAATGACGCTTACAGCGCACAAGCGCCCAAAGCGAACGCAGCCTAAATCAATTATCGGCCATATTATTATTGTCGACCATGTTGTGCAAATATCCTACTCATATGATAATATAATCTTACAAAGTTGTATGAACTTGCGTAAATGACTTCGAAGTGATAAATTTGCAAGAAGGTTTGCGACAGTTTTGCGTAGTTGTTCAAGTTCCCATTCGATAATCGTTCGGTGAATAATTGTTTTAGACCGGAAAGCGCGACGAATTAAGGCCAATTATTTTGCAAATGGCAAGTTGCCGCCAATTATTGCTTCACCGGATCGCAATCGGAGTATTAATTAATAGAACTCTCCCAAGCAGTGTTGTAACAGATACATTTTCTGAAATAACTAAATACAGTTATATTAAAAGAGAAATATATCTAGATACAGATATAAATATTAGTTTTAGATAAATAATTGTACACAGATATTATGTGAAAATGTATCTAGATACACCTCAAATACTTTTCAGAGATGTGTTGAGTGAATACAATAAAATTTGTTCAAAATTTTGTTACACATTTTACTGTATTTTATAAATTAAAAAGAACAAAATTATATTATAGATATGCAGATATTGTAAATATATAAGTTGAAAATTTAATAGCAATATTGACTAATATTTCAAACTATAAAAGAGTGCTTTGCGCCCTTTTGCATTTCATTCAGGACAAATTTTCTTGTTCTTTTTTTGCGTATCTTATTAAAATTTAGATAAATGTTGAGCATATTATTTTACATAAAAATTATATGAAGTCAAATACAAAGTATTAGATACAGAATGTCTCATACCAATCACTAAGTACTGAAATGGCAAATAGTAGAAATCAAATCAAGACGAAAAGCCCTTTATCACTTTTCAATACAAGTAATACAAGTAATACAAATAATTCAATAGAGTTATTAATTAGGTTTTAAATTACCAAAAGTTATTAATTAGGTTTTAAATTACCAAAATTATATCTGTATCTAAAATCAAATTTTAGATACAGAGATAAAATGTAACTAGTTACAGTTATTAAAAATAGATACGCAAAAAGAGTATCTAGATACTGTAATCAAATATAACTAAATATATTACAACACTGCTCGCAAATGTACCTGCTTCTCCCGAAGTCATTCATCGCACATAATGGTGAATGGGATTCGCCGATTAATTTTAAAATCATTAACATCCAATTCGTAATATTTCCATTAATGCGATATGTCTCCTAAAGTTGTACGTGAACTTGCTATAAACGACACATAAATATTCAACCTTGAATCAATATGGTTTTAAGTCGTCATTGCTATCCTTATATGGTTAAACGATAACAACACATATGCCATGTATTGAATATAATGGTTATCTTTTCCTATGCAACTTCGCATCAACCTTTATAGTCTACTTTTATGTTTGCTAGCCGGAATATTTGTATATATTGTACACGTTATATAATATACTTGGAAACTTATGTAACTTCTCTATAGTATACAATACTCAACTTTGTCAATTTGGCTTCAATCGAAGCATAGTAACGCATAACCTCGAATTTCGTCTCAAGTGTTAGCAATTCATAGTACTAAAAGAAGAAAGAAATTCTCGCAAGATACGTGGAAGAAGAAAATAAGAGAAAAATAAAAAGAACAAGAAATCTATATCACCTACTTCCGATAAACGGATTTAATCCTGACTCTCGTCTGACGATGATCGAGGGGAATCCAGTGACGTAAACGATGCCGCCGTCTATAAAAGTCGAGTGCGGAGCGAGGACCAGAATCGGCGCTTCCGATCTGGAAGCTTGCCTTCCTCGGACTACGATTTTCATCCCGCCGGCTTGGTAAGTAAGTCGACCCAAGTAACATAGCCACGGCACTATTTTGCTGCGGGTTTCAATCGAGAAAGTGTACACATACAGTGGAGCCCGAAGTCGGACGCTGAATATACTCTCAAACTCTTAAAGTAGCATCGACGAAGAAACATCGGTACGTCGATGGTATCGCGACTGAAATGAACGCGAGAGACGAATTACACAGGTTCGTCCGATGCGCTTTCTACATGGTCGAATTGATAGAAAGAAAAGGGTGGATAGGAAGACGGTGAAAGCGTTTCAGTTAGTGATTCAAGTTTCGATAACAAAAAAGTTAGTTGCGGGTTTCAAGTTGCAGCACACACGTGCCGAGACACGCACATTTGCGCTTCCCTTTTTGATTCTCTGATGCAAACAAGATGTTTCAGACGCGTATCGACGTGCAATCAATTTTCTTTTCACGAATTCATGCGCTATGAATATTAGCTATATTTTTTTTAAATTTATATTCTAGTTTGCATTCTTTAGATCATATATTTCACGCGACTACGTAAACATGTAATTTTCGCACAGTATAAACATCGAATGATGCACCAGAGAGTTAATGGGTAGTGCTATATTTAACCCCTTGACTGGTAGTTTAAAGTTCAAATGCGATTAAATTTACTGGTCAAGGGATCAAATAAGATGAAACATATTATTTATAAAAGCCACGTCATCAACAATTGTGAAATATAGCGAGATTGTTTTGCGTTAGTTACTAATGAATAAATCCCATCCACCAGTTATGTGTATATGAGTATGTGTATGTGTACATAATAATATTACACATGTACAACAAAGAAAACGAATAAAAAAGAACATTATGGCTCTTCAGTGCCAAAATTAAATTGTCGGTTACCATAAGAAGAGGTCGCATTTGTTTTTATCTATAGGTAATCATACAATCGACGGAATTAATGGCTCGAAGTTAACGTTTCGCAATCTTGCTAATGTTATCTAAGCTCCTGTAATTCACTTTATCCGAAATTTGACCAAAGATATGGCGATCCCTTCTTTATGGGCTAACTTGATTTGTCATTGTCGTTGGACAACAATTTGATGGTGGACGACCTACTTCCGAAGAAAGGGAGGCGTCTACTCTCCCCTTTGGCAACGATGCTCGGTCCGCCGAGGTACACGACCGGAAGTGCATCGAAGAAGCTGGAATGCGGGGCGAGAGCCAGCACCGGCGCGTCCTTAGTCTCCGCCTTCCGGCCCTTGACCTTCAGATGATGGAATCCACCGCAGAGAAATAATGCCCGCATCATCCAGCAGATCACGATGCGCATGTCTCTGTTTTTAAGTGATTTTACTTGCAGTGCGCATGCACCATCATCCGATGCAATTTCCTACGTCTACTTTCGTAAGCGGTTTGGAGAAGGATTAGCGGAGGGTTCTCTCGTAAGCGATCTTTGGGAATTAAGAAAGTCCGTCTCTCAGATAGAAAGTCTACTAGGGAAATATGTGCGAGAGTATATATTAATACACATATATATTCCCATCTTCCAGATATCCTTAAATCTAAAATGATCCTATGAAATCGTGGCAAGTACTTGGGAAACTTTAGATTCTCAGTAGAACTGCCTCAACGTTCTTTGCACTTTAGATGTTCACTTGGAGGCATTGATTTATGTCTTTATTTAGACATGATAACATTTATAATGGTATCTATAATGGTCGCAATAGTGCAACTCTAAACAAGTGATTGTGCTTTGTGAATAATTTAAAAACTTGTAAATCTATTCTACCGGCTATTACGAATAGTCGTAGATACTTCGCAGATGTTACTTCTAACTAAGCCACCTACTATAACCTTCTGGTATGGTACAAGGTTAGCTTATTGACGTTTCTCATTCGTAGGTCTTGGGCAGTATGATTAAATTATGGACAGCATACAGTTGTGTAACATATATAAGATGAAATAGAAATTGGCAGTGTCTATTTGGATATTAATTCTTGCTGTAAATCACTTTAATCACATTAATTTTTGCCATTAGTCACCGCTTTTTACTTCGTACGTTCACACACTAAATGACGAAATTTAATTGTTTAATGAAATAAAAGTTGATACTATTTGGATATCATAATTCTTGCTATGAACCACTTTAATTATATTAATTCTTGTTATCAACCATTGCTTTCTGTTTGTTAGTCTACGCATTACATGACAAAACTTAAATATGAATTTTGAAAAATATGTATTGATTCAGTTAAAGCTAATTAATTTCATTGCATAATTATCGGTCGTAAGAGACACTGAATATTGATGAAATAGAATATATGTCGACTAAGACATTCTACTTTGTATGAAAATATTTTAATTAATATTAAAACAGCATGAATCAAATATAACGATCTTGTTAAAGACGAAAAGCCGGTCTTGTGCTACATTAGATAAAACACTTTCGATGGTATCCGCTTGATTACGTTCAGCCGAAACTCCATAAATTAAATTATCTTCCAAATCGTATATTCAACTCGAATCTCTCGGGTTTCTATATATAACTCCAAGAAACGTTAAGTATATCCGAGAGCTTCGAGTTTCCTATTGAAATTTCTTTACAGTCCAACTCGAGATCTAAAAATTTCCAAGTACATTCGATGCATCTAATGCATCTATGCAGGTTTAGGCTGCGAGCAAAAGCAACACGATATAATACTGTAATATGAATAGAGCGAAAATGTTGAAAGCAACCTCGATGAAGGGTTCGTGTTAATACGAAGAAGATAGATCCGGGATAAGGGACGAGAGATAACAAAAGGGTCGTCCACGGTCTCGGTGAAATTACCGCATCGCTTGGCTCAGACATACCGTCTCCATCCTTTGAGAGGAGCTCGCCGAAGATCCTCCTCAGATAATCCAAGAAGACCCAGACAAGCCAATAACCATGCCATGATCATCAAAGTCGTGATGGCAGCTAACCTGAACGGCAGCAAAGCGATTGTCAGGAATATCGTCTGTAAAATCAAACGTCTCAGATTTAGCTTCCCTTTCTGATTCTCCATTCTTAGGCCTCATAGTAAATTAAATATAAACTTTCGCCACAACATATTATTACAATAATTTACCATAAACCGGAGAATAAGGAAGTATCTGTGAATTATTTGATCGGTGGATGCGTAGAAGACACGTAGAAGACAGACAAGACTCGGAATACATTAGGGAAACTCGTTTAGGTATAAAGTTCTACCGGAGTAATAAAACGTCTCATCGACTGTCGCGAAAAGAGTGCTCGACGAAAATTCGGACACGTGGTTAAGAAAATGTGTAACTGTGACTTTCTATGTCCATCATCCTTGTCACGCGGTCAAAGTTACAAAGCGTCCACCGATGGCTCCCTATTCTTGAAATTTTTGCGTATACGTAATTTTCATTGCGTAGCTATTTTATAGTATGATTAAACCTGCGTAGTAAAACTTACGTATACGCAACTATTTCAAGAATAGAGACCTACTTCTCGAGATATGAAGGAGAAGGAAAGAATAAACAGCGCAAGGGAGATGTGGGATATAAAGTACCGTTCGTTACGTTTCGCGGTTCCGTTAGCGTGCGCATCTCGCTTCATCTCGCTGAGGACGTATGCAGGTAACTGTGTAGAATCGTCCGTAAGACCAAATAAAGTAAATACGTTTTTCTTATTGGCGTAATTGATACTTATTATAAAACAAATGTCTCCTGACTTATAGACCCGAGACGTGATCTTCGCACAAACAAAAGCGAATATAGAGCAAAAAACGGTGCAAAATTCAAAGAAAATTCTTGGTAGAAACTGAAGAAAGATTTTTTAGCATAGGTGTGTAAACGACATTTAAAACAATATTTAAGTCCAAGATCGGATGGGTTATTCGATTCAAATAACTCTGATCGATAACGCAACACGAATGCCGAAGAAGCCTCGCACATTCGTCACGCGCTGATTTTTGCGTGGTAAGCTATTTGATGAATATAACTGCACGATTTAGAAACGTCGTGTCGACGGCGAACGATAGAAAATTACAAACTAACATTGTACATTGATATACATATAGAATATCTATCTAAGGCGTTGCGTTATCGCAAAGTGTCACGTATCAAACAAAAAAAGACTTATAAAATTATAAGGAAGATTTATTAGCGAGAAATTCAAGTATATTAAGTGTATAAAAAGAGCATAAATTATGATTTGATCTGTTTCTTCGAACGTTACTTTATTTCTTGTTTAACCCTGTATCCCTCGTAACTTTGCGCGCACTCGCAATACTTCTAGAACACGGGCTTTCTACGCGTTCAAACCTTACCGATGTTTTAACAAGAGAAAGCACCGGTCCACGAAGGAGTGCTACTTGTGACGCATTAACGGTTAGAAAAGTGCAGGCCTCGATTTTAGTGTCTCGACAATACGCAGCTGTTCACCGTTAGCGATGAAGCATCAGTGATCTCGTTATTGTACACGGAAACGAGATTGTATTTAGAAATTGTCTAGTAAACGCGAGGTACGTTCTCTTCTACTATTTTTGGTTTTTAGTTTCTTTTTTCTTGTGAGTCGGATCAGTTAGACGTTTGCGGATATTTATATACTCTCGCAAAAAATCTTGTTTTTATCTTCAAGAATCTAAAATTTTATATGTTGTTATTCTGTTTTTTTTTGTCGCTAAATATATCTCTAAAATTTTAGAAACACACGGAAGAAAAATCACGTAGAAATCGGACAATTTTCTGGATCTTAAAAACTTTGACAATTCGGCAATTTAAGCCCTAGGGAGAGGAATACTATTTACTAAAGGATATCTTAAAGATGTCCTATTTCTCTAAGACGTCTTTGAAGTATCTTTTAGTAATTTGTACTGTTTGGGAAACCATTTCAGAATACCACATTTTTTTTTTGAGATACAAGCAAATATTAGAAATACCTAGATGCTTTCTCGGCCGAATTCCTATGGCATTACCGGGCATTATCGGTTAGTTCGATACTTTCCAAAACCGTTGCTTTACAAATGGTCGTATATGTTTCATTGTTGCAACGTTTCATTTTGTTTTAATGCCGTGAAATCACAGGCTTGTTACTTTTAGCTGAACTAAAGGTCTATTCGTTTTCGAAGAATTGAATTAGTGCAAGAAGTTAAAACAAGTATATTTTCTTTCACTCCAACTTACCACACTAGTTCAGATCTTCGAAAACACGAGCAGACCCAAAGTTACGTAGGAATTTCGTTCCTCTTTTCCTTTCAACGCTAAGTTAAATACTTGCTTTGCTCTGCAAAAGTCAAAACTGAATCAACAGCGATTTAAATTCGAACAACGAGATTTCTTCTAGCGGCGAAACGTGTAAACAGCTGATCACGAACAATCGAACATACATGACGCAAATTACTTTATCATGTTCATCGAAATTCAACACGTGCGCAACATCGAAAAACCATCGCAAATTTTATAACGTTCATAGCGACGCGATATTGCACCTCGTGTCTGAGGATAGGTGCACTTACTTAAGTGCATATTACAATCGCCCACGTGACCTTGTTCACGGCTACACGTCGCTGCATTTACGTTGCGCTCGAATGGAAGCCCGCGAGAATGTGCCGAAGAAAGTGGGGCGGAAATTACACGAGCCGCACAAGCTTAAGTCGTTACGATCACCTCGACCGTGGACCATGAATGAGAGAGACGTGAACGTAAATTTCGGTCAAAAGAAAAAAAAAGAGAGAAGGGCACGATCCGCGATGGTAAACGCACGATTTCGCACGATCGTAGGCGCCGCGATTCCTGCGGCGTGAAAGTCGCCAGCACGGCACGGCGTGGCGAACTTCAGGAAAAACCGGCCTACCCATGACCGACCGCGGACGATATCTCCTCGACCATTGGAGAAGCTGTTTTTACGATTTTATACCTGCGTTCTTATTCCGCAGTATCCTGAATTGTAATGCAATCTTATTTAACGGTGGCAATTACTATCGTACTATTAAAGGTCGTATATAGACACTACCGTTATCATGTAGCGTTTTAACATTCGAACCGGAAGTATAAGATGTTCAACTTGTTCTTGATGAGTTACGATTGATTGTCATTATCGATTTCAGAGGTTTCCAAAATGGCCGTTTTTTGTTCGACCAAATGCTCAAGTCTATCCTCTCAAAATTGCCTTAAGAGCTAAATAGGAACTAGATCGCTTGTAGAATGAAACTAATACGTAGCTTAGCATGCTAGTGAAAGGAAAAGAAGCGAGATTCCAAAGCAGTGCTAGTCCAGTCGTAAACAATAAACCTCTCATTTCGAAATTCGAGACACATGTTGCACGAATCGGTATCACGAATCTTAGATGTTCTTTTTTCGAAGAACTAGCGAACCTGAATTGTATGTGATAAGTTCGAACGAGATAAGTATGTATTAGGTCTGTGTTCTTCTTCGAAGAACTTCCTGAACTAACGCACATCGATGAAATGAGTTAGAGTGAAACAAAATATACTTGCTTCTCTGCAACTTATTGCACCAGTTCAGAAAGTTCAGTTCTTCGAGAAAGAACGAAGCTATTATCTCACTCTAACTTTATTGCATCGGTGTGAACCACAGTTCAGGAAGTCTTTCGAAAAAGTACAGGCCTCTGTCGTTCAATCGTGCTACTCCGCGATCAGGCGTCGCGATTAAATTCTCACTGATCTCCGCGAACAGTTGTCCAACACACTCACGCGGCGCACTTTCTCAGCAACGCGATCGAAGCATCCCGCTTCGCTCTCACGCCGGTGGTGGCGACGACGACAGCTACAGTGGCATCCCCTAAAACGCGCCCGTACGAGCATCGATCCCGCATGTAAGATGCTCTTTCGAGAGCGAGATACTGACCTTGAGCTTCTCATAGGTTGAGCCGAGCTCCAACCGATGCACAAAAGGGTTGAGGATGTCCGCGCCCAACGACGTTGCGTCGGTGTCGCTGTCGTTCCTGGCGTTGCCGTTCATCGCAAAAACCAGACGCACTCGACAGAACTGACACTCGCGCCCGATTCCTGAGATCGAGAGGGAAGTCTTATGTTGTCTCAGAGTCGTCCTTTTTTTCTCCGGAGAGAAACCGCGACACTGCACACACGAGAGACACACGCGTACGCCTAATCGACGGATCAAACGGTCTGTGTGTACGTGCGACTACTACGTGAAAATCGCGTGAGTGAAACACACCAACAGAAATCGAAGTGACGGCCGAGGCGCCACCGTTGCTCGCGCACCCTCTGTTCTCGCGTGCACAAGGGTTGACGGTCCGCGTAGCACTGCGCTCACCTGACACGCGCCACCGCACGAACTGCGCGCCGAATTTTGCCGAAGCGGCGCGGCGGCGGCGCCGGCGCAATACTGATTTTCCGATCTCGCCCGAGGACGAATCGGGCGCTTTCGTCAGCGTAGCCTCGTTGGAACGGCATCCCGAGCAGCAGAAATTTTAGAAAGCGCCCGGAGGACGTCCTATGTTTCCAGAAGCTGTTTAGATCATGGTGTAAAAAAACAAGTGAATCAGTCCGGTGGATGCGTAGTCGTCCATGAATTAATTAATCACACACCACGCACACACACGCACGCACACGCACGCACGCACGCACGCACGCACGCACGCACGCGCGCACACACACACACACACACACACACACAGAACTGGATCCAAATCATCGAAACAATATGATGGTAAAGGTGCTTTTACGACCTTTAAAGGCCAAATCACACTAACGATAGATGATTGACGATTGAAGATTGGAACTTGACCAATTGGAACAAAGCAAACCAAGGCTGAAGCTTGTGATTCGTTAAAATATAATCATTAATTGTCAATCGTTAATCGCCAATCGCTAGTGTAATTTGGCCTTTAGTTGCAAGCCGATCGCAAGCAGACTCAATTCTTATTGCGACAGCCAATCAGAAGCATCAATGGTGCTATTGACGCTTCTGATTGGCTATCGCATTAAGAGTTGCAGTCGACTTGCAACTAATAGAACGACTTTTATAGAGGCAAAGAGAAACCTGAGAGCGGCCACGCCATACGTTTTGGTTGACACCTATTTTCATGCTGTTCGATGCATCATCTGCACCTATTTTTGAGATGGAACTACGTTCCCTACGTCCATTTTCACACGTTGATTGAAAACATGGACTGTCCATGTTCTTAACCACGCAATTATATGCTTAGCACGGACACGAATCGCCAGAATTTTCTGGCGTAGAATGGACACGCAACAAATTGATACTTTACCGGCAGCGTCTGAAAATGGGCGTAGGGAACGAAGTTCAAAATGGATGCAGATGGCGCATCGAACAGCGTGAAAATTGGTCAAAACGTATGGCGTGGGCGGCCTCAGATTTCTCTCTGTGTAATTCTCTCCACTCTCGACTATACTATGAACTAGACAAGGATAAGAGAGGAAACAGGGATCTCTCTCTCATTCCGCACGCTCAAGAGGCAGCGCGCGTTTCAGATAGTATATATTTCAGTGGTCTAGATATATAGGGCCATATTCTGAATCCTCTTTTATCTATAAAAGTGCCTCTAAAAGAGGCTTAGGAGCTACTTGATTGGCTGAGAAGCTACATTTAAGGCATTTTTATCGATAAAAGAGGATTCAGAATATGGGCCATTATGTCTATGGCTTCGTCTGGAGCACGGCCGCCCGCCGTATTCCATTCGTATGACTATCACCGTCTATACGGAACATCATCAAATAAATCCCAAATGAAACCATTCACTGAAATAGATGGACATCAAAATAGAAAAAACAAAATAGAAAAATACAGTAATGTGTATCTCGTAATATATCTTAGAGTAACGAGAAATGAGGATGGAAAACTGGAAACGGAAAGAGGTTAGGGAGAAGTGTGTCCATTAGAAAATCCTCATTCGAAATTGCCGCTTGTCAACTATTTTCTGACGATATTTTCTGTGCGTTTACGTCAGGAACACTTTATTTTACATATTTACACCTGTTGTTCGTGATCACATCATTCGCGTTGGTCTCTTCTTTCTTTCGCTCTCTCTCTTTCCTTTTCTTTCTTTCTGTCTCTCTTTTTTCCCCTTGTCACGCATCACACATACATGCACGCATACACGCTTTTTCGTACGTACTTCCTTCTCGAATTAAATATGGATGAAAGGTTCGTAAACTAGAAAAGAACATCGTGGACTCTTTCTATCTATTAAACGTATTTATCAACTCAACAATTCTCCAGAAACATAACAATAGTTTGTTCCTCTCAATCGATCAACCGAATTACCCTTTAACCAGTGGTTCTATATTTCGTTTCTTTTTTCTCCTTTTTTTAGCGCGTGCTGTCGTACATTATGTGCCAATAGTCAGAAAAAACGAGCAGCATTCGTCCTACCAAGATCCTCAACATGATGTCGTTATTCCATTAGTCATTTTAGACGTCTGTGTGATCTTGACTGATCTAGAGATGATTAGATGTATCTATCGCTGCTTTTGATGCACAGGATATCTCTGAATTCTTTCTAATATGTAGATTACGCTACGACATCCTATAGTATCGAGATCATCGCAATTTTTTCTTGGTCCTTCTTGTTGTCATTCAGTTGTTAATCTGGTGGGACATGTTCCCCATATAGCACAAATCTCTAAAAGACTTCTTAAAGAATCCTAAAAGTGTTCTGGAGAACTTGGGAATTCTTTTGGAACTCTTTAAGAAGTCTTTTAGAGATTTGTGCTATATGAGTCGTTTCTTGGCGTAAAAGAATCGCGTTCGATTTAACGATCGCATTCGATTTAACTGGTTAAAGGGTGGCGATAGAAACTACGACCGCGAACAATTAATTGAGATCATAAAAATAACGAAGCTTAGATTACACTGTCTTAGATTACATGTCTTCTTTTTTTCTATATGACGTGTGAGTATACGTATTGTAAACGGATGCTTGGATCCTTGGATCCTCAGTCACTGAATTCTTTATTGTACGAATTTTAAGATTCGGAGAGAGCATTCTCTAGGATTTTATGTTTTTTTCAGGATTAAAAAGGAGTTGTATATCTAAAGAGAAGTAGTGAAAGGACTAAATATATTCGGGGACTTAAAGAATCAAATATGGAGCTGAAAAGAAACTGAAAGTCTCCAAATATGTGAGCACTCATGATACGAAAGCAGTGGATAATCCAAGTTTTCTACTCAATGCAATAACTTAAAAATATGAGGGATTAAAGACGTAGGGAAAAAGAATCCAAGGATATAAGCATTCAACCTTCAGATCATGCGATCTTTGAATCCTTATATCCTAATATATATGTATCATGTTTGTATGTACGTAGGTCTGCCCACATATGTACGTGTGTACATGTATGTGTACGTTTAGGATGTCCTTTACATGCCAATGGCCAAGTATTAGAAACGTTTTATCTCCACTACTCTCTCTCTCTATTTGTTCCTTTTATAAATTATATATATCTGATTCACGATATAGATTTGTCCGTATTATAATATACTAGTATTTTAGAAATATAAAATATTTTTTCCGCGTCGATCGTCTATGTTTGTCGCCAATTTGATATTGCCGATAAGTTCTGCGAATATACGAGTCCGATTAAATGTAATATCAATGCGACTTTTAAGCATCGATGTACGAATATCACCACACGAAAAGTTATTATAAATAAGGGACATCCTAATATGTCTTATATGTGTGTGTACACTTGTGTGTGTTTGTTTTGTGTGCGGCATGAACGTATGCATGTATACATTCTGGAAGTGGAGTGTTCGCATTATCGAGGTATATCTACGTTCAAGCATTCGGATATTGTCGGTTCCTCGAAAAGCTAGAAAATATGCTCCACAGCTGGAGTCCCAGTTGCCGTCTCTGAAGTTTTATATGCTTAACGCACGTACGTCCGGATTGCATCACCCTTCGAGATCGGAGACGTCTGAACGACTTTTTATCTCTTTTTCCCGTCTGCGTGCTCTCGAAGGATCGTGCTTCCTGCAATCGTTGTTCCGAGATGTGCAAGTCCGATTAAGCAAGATGGACAGCCCTAAGTATCACTGAAGTGAAGATAGAGCTGGAAGAGACGAGCTCATAAAATCAAGGATTGTTGCCGTGATTAATAAGAATTAATGAAAAAGTTTTATATCAATAGCAATTTACTACTAAAACTGTTCCCTAATTTATTGTTGGATATGTCACGATATATTAAGTTTAATTGCCGCTCGTTCGCGCGATTTATCTTTCGTTCCTTTCGAAATCTCGTAATCTCTGGATCATCACTTCAGTGGCGTCATGGGCGGAAAAGTTTTCTGATGAGATAAACGCAAGATAGGAAATGTTTAACGAGCGCAAAGCGATACTTCAATAGCGATTATAGATCGTCGCAGAGTTCGAGAATGGATCGTTAGAAAGTCAACTCGTGAATTACTTTAGATCTTGCATACTCGGATTATACGAAATCTTTGAGCCTTTAAATCCTTGGATTCTTGGACCCCTGATTTCTAAGATCTTCGGACTCTTAGATCCACGGATTTAGCGCCGTAACCTCGTACTCGAAGCGGCCCACTTTTCGCACTCTTAGCCCATCTACTAGAGTGTGTCGGTGTGTCCCAAAAAGAGGGATCAGTACTTTTATCATGAAAGTAAAGAGTGTTCCAACTGCCTCCGCAATTCCAAACCTAAATAGTGATCTATGAAAGCTTAAAATTCTGGAATTATATGTAGTATTTAGTTACTTAGATTCACACACCGCTCACAGGACTCTATTTCTCGGCTCGAAAATAACAATATAAGTGGATGCAAATTTTCACTTCAACAAAGTTGAAACTAATTGATCCCTTCGCCGACATCTCCTGTCGAGACACCCGGTACAACCGCGAAGACGGCGAACTGAGTCGCCTGATTACGCGCGACGGCGGCTCGTCCTGCACTCGATCCGTATCCGAAGTCATATAGTCCAAACCTGCACTTTCTCTGCGACAACGCACCAGCTGGCGTGGTCGTAGTACGACGAGATGATATGCAGGTTCTCGACGTACTTGTTGATCAGCTGGTCGAGCTCGCCCTCCCGAAAGACGTGGTAGTATTGATGGTATGTGATAGCGCCGCCACCACGATCGGACGGCAACGACTCCTGGGACGAGGCGTTGCTCAGAGTGTCAGTCGTCGTGACCAGGCAATCCGCCGCGGCGGAGTTTCTCTTCGTCTCGCTGGAAATCTCGTCCAATGAGCGGCCGCGCTCCTGTAGCTTCCGTCGTGCTTCTGTCGCGCAACGCGACACGTTCTCCATGTTCGATACCAACGACACCGTGCTGCCGGTGAACAGTCTTGCTGTCGACTCCGCTTGACTGCCATCGCTCAGACTCGTCGTTGTGTTCTCAATCGAGTCGCCCACCTCGCTCGAGTCCATCGACAGCCCGCCTTGGGAACGCCACTTGTCTGTAACCGAGTTCTCTTCCGCCACGTCTTCGCACTGGAACTCGCCTGTCTTTGACACCATCACGAAGTCCAGCATGTCGTCTGAGTTGCTGCGCAACAGCGACGAGATACTCAAGTTCCCCTGTCTTCGCTCTTGCCGGCTGGTTTTAGATTCTGATTGCGAGTTGGATTCTGTGGGATGGAACTTACTTTCAGCTCTGGCATCAACGGTCGGTTTCTCGATATCAACCATGAAACCGCTGTTGGATTCGGGATTGAGTCTAGGTAGCAGATAGGACTTTGACTTGTCCTCGGACTCTAAGTTGAATCTGAACAGTTCGTCATATTTGGAGGTGAATCCGGTTTCGAGTTCGGCTTCGAGCTTGACTTCGTATTTTGATTCGGTCTCGAATTCGCGTTTGAATTTACGATCAAATTCGGATTTGAATACAGACTGCTCGCCACAATATGATTCGGAATTGTACTGAAAAGCATCTTCTGTTTCGTTTTCAGGTTTGGACGACTTCAGTTCGGGCTGCTGCACCACATTGGTGAACTTGTTGTGGCCACTCTTGTCGTACGCTTCGTTTACGATCCACGTGGTCTCTTTGGGCAATCCGTTGCACTCTTCCCAGCACGTCAGGTTATTGTCCGCGACGTCGAGCGTCGATGACGTAGTCCTCGAGGTCTGGCAGACGTTGAGGAAGTCGAACGACGAGTTTTGGCAGTACCGACTGATATCTCGCATGAGCTCGCTGCTCGATTCGTCAGTATAGCCGCCTAAGTCCACCGAGGCCGACTTACGTTCTTGCTTCAGATATGCTCGCGTTCGCACGCTCGATCTCGACCAAAACTCGCCGTCGTGATCACGCCGTTGCGCGACCTGCAGTAACTGCGACTCGATTTGCGTGTTGTGTTGCATCGCCGTTCCTACAGCGTCCTCCAACGAGCTCGCCACGTTGGCAGCAGCTTCCAAGAGTCTCATAGACTGCGAAGTAATGGACCTGTTGCTTTCCGAAAGTACAGGAGACGCTGAGCAAATCGGATCGGTTCGCAGAATATCTTTGGAAACATCACGCATCATTTCTGCTTCTGTGATCGACGACGCGACATCCTCCTCCATGCTTTCACTGATTCGCGAAGCCGTCGACGAAGTGTCGCACATCATCTCGTCCTCCGGGATCGCCGACGAAGATTCGTACGAGGGGTTCAGAGGTGTCTTCGAGTCGGTGAGTATCGCCATCGTTCCCAGACTCAGCGACTCGTCATCGCGTATACTCCCAGTCTCTCTGTCCGTCTTCTCCGATGCGGCCGCGTCCGAACTTTCGTTCGATTTGGAGGCTTCCTCCGAATCCGTCTGCGTGTTGTTTTTCTTTCCTTCGACTTCTTTCCTTGCGATGTACCTTTCATCTGACGTGACGCTAATCACCGAGCCGACGGATTCCGGCGACGAGACCCCGCTGGAATCGCTGTCCAGATCATCGGTCTCCGGGTTGAATAGCTCCAGTGACAACAGCCGCGGCAAGATCCTCGTGACGGTCTCTAGACGGCCTGAAGCTGTGGTAGAAGCACGTCTGACGAGCGGAAAGGAGGGTCTGGCGCGTGTCGCGAAGCCCGGCTTCTGTATGAGTAGCTCTTTAATCTGATTTAGCCGGGCCTTCCGGTTCTCATCCTCGCTGATCGACTCGCGGCCTATCACTTTGGTGACGTCGTTGAAGGCACGTATCAACGGCGCGGTGTCCGGTTCCTCCGCTTCCGCCGGCTCTGTTATTAAATGGAGTCCGCGCGACCCTGTCGACGTCTGTGTGTTGTTAACAGACACTTTGTCATTGCAGATAAGAGTCGGTGATACATGTTTGACCGCGTCACTGAGGCGGGCTGTACTCGAGACAGATTGTTGTTGTTGTTGCGGTTGCGGTTGTTGTTTCAATAATGACGACACACCGATTAGCTTAAACCTTGAGGACTGATTATCCGGGGGTTGCTTAACGCGCGGTGATGGTGGTGCTGACGTCGTACCGAGCTGCAACGCTGCTGGTCGCGGTGAAAGTGGCATCTCGTTGACCGACGACGTAGTGACCGGGACATCCTGTTTGGGCACGAAGATTACCGACGCAAAGCTATCCTCAGAATCTACGCTGGTGTCACTTTGTAGGCTGCTGTCCTTGGAAGAATCCGAACCGTCCTCTCGCGAGAGACGACGCTCGACGCCCTCGATGCTGCGCTTGACCACGGTCACAGTAGGTGCTTGTACTTTGTCCGGCGTAGGTTTCGGCTTCGTCGTCGCCGCTTCCGTCGCGGATGCCTCGTTTTCGCCGGATTTCCAGCCTTGCAGCATCCGTACGAAGCCGTTCTTGATGGACATGCTGGAGACCTTCTCGATATTCGTGGTGGAGCGCTTGATCTTACTGGTAAGTCCGTTTTTCAACAGCTGGAAGCGTCGGCTGGCATTTACCGGGCTGATAGTGTCTTTAAACGCTTCAAACGTGCGCCACTTACAGATGAGTTCCTCGTTCAGGGACGCCTGCTTCATGATATTACGGCGCACTCGCTCTTTCTCTTCCAGTCGTTCTGCCGACATCAGCTCCTCGTTCATCGAACTCTGTTTCAGCACGTTGCGTTTGCAGGCGCGCATCTGCTGGCAAGGAAAGTCTGGAAGGTCCTTGATCAGGTTTTCAATGGCAGTGTCTTCAGGATTTTCCAAACCGGTCTCCTCCACGCACGATTTCTGCTTCACCAGCCGTGGTTTCGAGCCGCTCGAGGACGACGAGACGGACCGTTCGTCCAGGATCAGCTCGGAAGTGGAGCAGAAGCCCGGAATACTTGACCGAGAACGTACTAAGTCCAGCCGTTCAATCTCCAGGATATCGCCCAGGCTCTTGGACTTGATGCTCAAGGTATCGGTATGTTTATTGGTCATCAGCGTGTGAGTGGTCTCCACACGACGCAACTCGATCGGTAACTCGTCCACGTCGGTTACGTCCTCGGGGTCGTAGTGCCGTCGGCTCTTGGTGCCGCTTTGCCAGCTCCCAGGGAACCATGCGCGACCGCTGCCTCCGCGTTTGCTTCTCGCTAATTTCTAAAAAAAAAAACGAAGTTGAGTATCGCCTACGGTGAGTGATGGTCAATAATAATAATAATAATAGAAAGATAGAATAATATTCCTGCCAATGCAGTCCCGAGATGTAACAATTGAAGCGGAAATTCAATCCTTCCTCTCGAATTACTCTTTGTTCTTGACACAATAGCAGTGAAATCAAACACCACATTCGTTAGCCACAAAAATTTAATTGGATAACCCTCGACATTTGGCCGAATGATTCTTGATAGATAGAATTGAGAACCTAAGAAAATCAATCGGGAAAATGCAAAATATCCTAAAAAATTCTCCATCGATTACTTTGTGATCGTTTGATTTCAGAATGTTGCATTTATGAAACGGAAACGGACAATTTCTCTGATTCATCTTTCTTACCTGTAACGCTCGCCGGAAGCAGCTATAACAAGTTTCATTCGGGCTGGAGAGACTGCTGGTAGATGGTGACAGGCTGAATATTGGATCGATCCAATAACTCTTGCTTTTACATTTTCGTTGACTATTTCTGGAATGAGAGAAACCATGACAGCTGACCTACATACGATACATACAGTCCTGGGGAAATGGCGATAATTGCGCGCGAGAACAAACCTATTATAATAAATCTTTCACCTCGCCGTAACTACATGTATGTTATGACAATCAACGAGAATAGGAAAGAGCGAACCATGCTTTATTACCGCTTTCCATATCGGAAAAAGATACCGCACCTTTTGGAGGATGATGGATATTTCTGAGCGGCATCGTCATCTCGTTTCTCGTTATTGTTCGATACACTCGAGTGCCTTGTTCCATCCGATGCTGCACTCATGCAATACGACTTGGGCCATGGTACTAAAACATCTTGCGATTCGAACTGCAAATAAACAATAATACAATTTCGTTACACGTTGTCAATAACACAAATCGTCAATTCATTCTTTAAGGGTTCTGAATAGTTTATAGATATGAAGGAGTTTCTTTGGAATTTTTTACAAAGAAGTCATATATTTTTTAAGTCATATATTTTTTTAATTTTTCAATATATTTTTATTGTATTTTGAGAAAGAATTAAAAAAGTTATATAATTACACAGTTTGTTTTTTGATCCATTTTATCAAATTTTGGCTTAGTTTAATGTGATCAGATGATAGCTACGCTCATATAAAATAAGAATCTTTTTTTGAATCTTGTTTCTGAAGTTTAAAAATATATGTATTATAATTTCTTTGTAAAAAATTCCAAAGGAACTCCTTTAATTCATGCCTACAAGCTATATAGAGTTCCTAAATAATGTACAAATAGCTGTCGAAAAAATATATTAAATTATTACTTAAAGAATTAAAAGAATATAGTTTTTTTCTCACCTTTCTATGCTTTTGTTCCATAGCCCAGACCGATATGACGAGTCGACCTCCGATCCTGAGGACCCGTGCCAGCTCCTTCAACGCGTGTACCCTCCTCTCTGTCGTGGCGAAATGGTGCACCACGGCGATCGACAGTACCGCATCGAAGCTCTCTTCTCGGAACGGTAGTGCCAAGTTATCGCATATCAGGACCTTATCGCAAATCAGATCCCATGAGTATAGCTTGATATAGATTTCACATCGATTTAATGACAAGATATTCTCCAATTGATACGCACCTCGTTTTCCTTCTCGCGTGCGATATCTGTGAAACGCTTGCATCGGTCCACTCCTATTTTGAAGATACTGTGATTCACGCTGAGATATTTTCCGTTACCGCAACCTAAACGATATAGATATAATGTTACAAACGTAGGTGCAACGTGACACTGTAAAGCATGCGAGGTACAAGCTCCGCTAACTATGCAACCCATGTGACGAATTCTCGCAAGGATTGCGCGTCGACAGGCATTCGCGCAACAGATAATTACTAAAAAAATATTTTTGCAATGACGTTCTGTGAATAGTAGCAACATTCTCAAGTGGCACAAAATACTCTATAAATATTTTTATGAAATTTTTACAAATTAATATTTATACAAATGTTTTTAATTTACTTCATAATGTTCTAAATAATAATAATGCATTCATTATAGCTTAATAATGATATGTATCTATAAAATAAAATACTTAAATTACTCGTGTATAATTGTGTAAAAGCGAAATCAATGATTAACCTACATTTAGATATTTTATACATATTTATAGAACATTTATAGTTTTGTAAATTGAATATATTATGGACATACTAATGAACATATAGCAGTATTTTTAGTACATTTATAGAATATACATATATACATATTTATATATATATAATATATATTCGTAAAGAATTATATTTTATATTTTAGACTTTCGCGATGTAGTGAAATGCTTGGTCTGGCTTCCGGATTGATGTCGCGCTCTTTGTGGATTTGTTCTTCTGAAAAAGTGAACATTCTAGTTCACTTTTCAGGAGACTTCTTCAGTACAGAAATAACCTGAGATTTTATTGAAGAAATCTTCTGAAAAAGTGAGCTGGAATGTTCACGAAATGTCGAACACAAATCCATGAAGGACGCAGCTCCAACCCGGAAGTCAGACGTAAAGAATATTCGTGGACCATTCATAGAATATTCCTGTGCTATTTGGATTTTCGACTGACCGATATCGCAGACGAGGGCACCCGGCTCGAGCTCTTGGAGAAATTGATATACTCGTGGCCAGTGTTTACTTTGCGTGGTTTTCTCGGCACATTGCTCGTATACTTCGTGGACATAGGCTTGCTCTAAGGCCACCGAGCGAGCTGCATGCTCTCCGTCGCTCTCAGACATCCCTCTCGCTAAGGTGATTTATCCTCGTCCACATGTGCGCTCACGATGCTGCACAAAAAATGTGTTTCGTCTCCGTGAATTGCAAGATCAATGGAAATTCGTATTTTGCTTGAAATGATTTTGCAAGTCTAAAGATCGACAATGTAGAAGACCTACTAAGAGAATTTCGGGCATTTACAAACAGGTACGTGCTGTTCTTCCGCCACACACACCGCGAGAACACCGGGACATCAACGAATGATAATTTTTGTGTATTTTTCAAGACCGTTGTAGCCTGTTACGTCGGTAGCAGGACTCCCGAGTAACATGAAGAATTTCCAACGTGTCCTACGTTCTCGATCACGGTTGTCGCGCCGTGTCTTCGCTCACAGACCGATCTCGCAAGGTGGCAAACACCCGCAGTAGAATATCTCCTGCAGCAGCCTGAGTATCAGCTTGTCGGCCCGCAGTTTCTCTGTCTTCTCCACCTTCACGCGATCGCAGCGGTACCGCAAACGGGGCACCGTGTAAACCCGGCACCATCGCAAGAACTCTCCTGTGTCCTCCGTTCGAATGAACGTCACGATCGCCCAGAGCGTGCAAAGATTCCGGGACTTCTTCCTCGTGTGCAAATAAAGCTGGCAGACATCCAGAAATGTCAAAAGATCGACCACGCTCCTTTCCATGGAAAACACGCTCTTCGTGATCGGACACCGCTCTCAAGGCGAATTCGATGGGCACAGAGATCACACACCGGTCTGACACAGCGGCGCTCGCAAAGGGTCGGTCGGTTGAGAATCAAAAATCGTGAGCAACGGACAACCAACCCTTAAATAGATCCTTTGGCGAACGTCACCGAGCGGAAAATCCGCCTGGCGCGAGGGCTGCTCTCGGCTCGCGCCACCGCCACCACCGCCACCGCCACCCCCGCATTATGTGCTGTTGGCGGATGCTGACGGAGGCAGGTGGACCGACTTCAAAGAGCATCACCCCCTCTCCTTCCTTTGCCGCGTGCCTTCCCCCTTTCTGCCACCCTCCAGCACGAGACTCCCTGTCTTCGTCGCGCGCGAACATCGCGAGCAAAAGGGGCGAATGCAATGTGTGCGTCGCGTTCGCCGATACGCGACTGCGCGGTGAATTTATTCGATATCCCCTTTCGCATAACTGGGTTAGCCTCGGTGCACTAGTTTAACTAATTTAAGGATGCCACCAGATGCCTCGTGTCAGCGCGACGGCTAATGTCAACTGTCGTCACTCCCCGCAAACGAACGAACGGATGGATGGATAGATAGATGGATGCGCGGACGGATAGACGAACCGACAGACAGACGAGTGGACGTATGCCAATGTAATATCGACACGCGCTGTTGCTCGTTTCCGAGGGATGCAACAGTGCAGTGGTGATTCATGAGATACAATTGTTAAACACAGGAAAATTCTGCGTATGTCTTTTCTTCTTCAAGAGAAAAGAATAGAGTGCTCAAATTATCCAAGATCAATCGTAATTGTTTCTATGATCGTAAAGCCCCGAAATACACACTCGCGTGACGAAGCAATATATCTTTGACCTTTTTGAATTTCAAAGACTTCGAATTAGTCAGACTTCGGCTAAGAATGTTACACGGAGTGTAACATCTATACTTATCGTCTCTCGCTTGTCAATTGATTTGAGCGACTGAATTATCAAGTCAAGCCATTATGCGTCTGTGTCATATATCACGAAGAAAGGGACAGTCGTCCATATGTTACTAATGACAACGACTTATAAATAGAATGTGAAATGCATCCTACGCGGGTGCTTGCGTCACGAAACATCGCGCGCCTGTTCAAGGACGAAGGGCCGGTCGTGTCCGCAGTTAGATTAGCAGTAAATACCTCCGTGGGCGAATTTTTTTATCTGATCAAATGAAAGAAAAGAAGAATAATATGCACGTTATCGATATTATTTGGATCTCCTCGTTTTCTCGGATCTCCTCGTTTTCTCGGTTGCGCCGATACGCAACATTCAAACTTGACGCTCAATATATATGTTTGATAGGCAATCGAATTTCCACAATCTCAGATCTGCGCGAGAATCTGCACGACGAACGTTCATCACCCTTCGGCACGGTCATGTGGAGTGGAGGAGAACCACTGTGCCACCGCGGTTAGACTACGTACTACGTAACGGGTGGATTGTAAGTGTGGTGGTTTGGACGGCGTGGGTGGTACGTAGAGCAACGGCAATGTGCCAACCGTGAGAGAGGCAGCCATGAATGAAAGTGCCGCATATCGATTTATCTGCGCCGCCCTACATACGAAATATGATAAATAGAGAGTGTGCTTCACCGCGGTTTTCCGAACGATTTGTAATAGCACTTCGTTGCGTTCTTACCATCTACCTTTTCCCCATTTCGAACTTAATTAAGTCCACTTACATTTTAATTAAGCGAGCGAGGCGAGGCAATTATCAGCTCACCTATCTGATATATGCGGTAATGTGATAGATACAATGAGATTAGATCAGAGTTACCTCAACGGGAACACACAATGGTGAGAAGAGATAGAAAGATCTCAAGAAGATGGTGGAATTAATTGTGAGAGCAATGTCGCAAAACAGGTAAAGCAAGACATGTGTCTGCATAAATGAGTAATTTATATAAACATATGACGAGCATTCTCGAGCGACATTGTATTCTAAATCTGACACCATTTTATCTCTCTTTTTCTTTCTGATGCACGATTATAAAATCAATTGATTCCATCTACACTTAGACTACTTCCTTTGCCTCGAATCGTCGAGTCTTCTCAGAGGATTAAGCACTTACAAAAAAAATAATCAATTTTTCCAAAGGTGCGAAGTCTGTGGAGTTCTAAAATAGAAGATCTCGACGATCGGACGGGCAATCTCGCGATCGCACATAACTACGTAATCGCAAATAACTACGGATTCAATCGATTCAAGACCGTAACGGCAGTAAACGCGTCATCGTTCAAAACGATTCGATATGGCGCCATTATTCATTCATGCGAGCTACCTCTACGTCAATGACTGTGGCCGTCCAAAGCATCACGCCGATTTCGTACCCGCCAGCGCGCAGAAATCACGACGTGCGATTTTGAGGATTCCGGATCGGTCGGCAACCCGAGGAATTGAAGATCCCCAATGATCGGAAGCCACCGCGGCCAGAAGCGACGACAAGCGTAACGTCGAGGCGCGGCGTTACGTTAAAACGATAGCGACGCTTCACGCGAATATTGATATGACATCCACTTTATCGTGCGAAATAGACTGCACGTCCGTTCCAGTATTCTTAAATAAGCAAAATCAATTCTTCGATGAGGAAGAATCGCCTACGCGAATTCGCTCAGGCCGGCGACGGCGGCCGCCATGTCGCGCGAGATCGCTGCCCGTTTTCGCGAACAACTAGCGACGACATCCGTCCGTCTCGTCGGGCCGAGCTGTTCGACGTTCCTTCCTCGTGAAAATGAGTGAGGCTTACCTGGGTCATGAGAGAGGCGGAATCTTCATGCTCGTGGTGAAACACGCGGCCGTGGCGGCGAGAGGGTGCAGCAACACGGAAGCGGCGGCGGTGGTAGCGGCGGCGGCGGCGGCGGCGGCGACGACAACGACAACGACGACGGCGGCGGCGGCAACGGCAGCGGCGGCGGTAGCTGCGGCTGCGGTGGCGACGACGACGTCGACTGGTGTTGCTGGTGCTGTTGGTGGTCGCGCGGAATCAGCGTCGCGCGGATGCTGGTGTCTCATCGCGCCGACCAGAGCGGATTCTTCCTCTCACATCGCCTCCGCTTTGCCGATTCTCTCGCGCGTCTCTTCTCGTTTCCCTTTCTTCCTCTTCCCCTCGCTCGCTCGCTCGCTCGTGTTGTTCTTCGCTCGGTACTCTCGCAACGAAAGGGTGTGTTACGCGCGCGATGGACGCGCGTTCCAAGGGAATCGAGCCGACCGAACGACCGACCCTCCGACAATGGCTGCGGCTCCGGGGTTGAAGGGAGCACGCGCGAAGCGACGCGACGCGACGCGACGCGACGCGGGCGTCGCCGTGACGCATTACGAGCGTAAGAGGGAGGAAAGGGCGGAAGAGACAGATAGATAGATCGAAAGAGAGAGAGAGAAAGAGTGTGGGTGTTGAAGATATGTTTCTCGTGCGCCTGCTGCGGATGTGGGTGTGCTGGGAAACGTGTGGTTCGACACCTATAGTGAATTTATAATAGCCTTCGCGGTGTTTTTCTCCGCGAGACATGTACACTTATAATATCCTTGCGCGTCCTCGTGACGCGTTACAAACATCAGGAGAAGCTGGAAGGAGAATGTAAAGGAATATATTCCGCGTGACACGTGCGGCGGAATACGCGTGTGTGTATACAAGATGTGCGGCTGTGCAGACGCGTTTGACGTGTTAGAAACTGAAAGGATCTCTCTCTCTCCTCCTCCCCTCTCTTCCTCTCCTCTCTCTCCCTCCATCTTTCTTTCTCACTCGGACGAAAGACCGGAAATATCCGTGATTGTCAAGTTACAGTCCGAGCAAATTAATCTGCCTCGACGGGTAATATTTCATTGTTTGTCAAATAAACTTGTTGTTAGGCACTCTGTATGCACAACAGAGATATATAGAGATATATAGAGATAGTGGATTGACATCTTTATATTTATGATGTGCTTGCAGTTTTGTGACGCGTTATAAAACGTAAAGATATCTCAAAGAGAGTGGATGAATGTAAACGTGTGTGTATATATATATACATGAATACAAAGTACTTGTGAAACATGATCTGACGTCTGTCATGACATTTCCATAGTTCTACGGCGTTTGAAAGTCACGAGCGGACGGCCAAGTAAAGTTTATAAAATTCTTTATTTCCTATTCCTTTCTTATTATAATAATACGTTAATGTAAGTTGTAACACAATTCGTAGGTGCCGACAGAAAATCGGTAATACTTAGACGTAAGGTCATTGGAACGAATTTTGCCTAACTTTAAAAACCTGATTTAAAGGCGCGTACGACGAGTAGCGAAACACGTCATCGACGGTTAGGTTGCATCGCAGTATCACCACACCTGACGGGTTCACCTTAACCTTGATCTTGGTCTGCGGCGTCAGTACGCCGTAATCCACGTCCTCGTATAGATCCTGGAAAAACATGACGATTGCAGTATAGACATTCTTAACAGATATATTGAGAATACTCCCAACTTTTCTCAGTGAGACATTTTTCATTAGTACGAACCTCTACACGGTATCCACCAGGATATTGAAGACCTAGCTCCTTCAACGTAACCGACACGTCTGACGGCGTGCCATCCGTTCGCCTGTTGACGAACGCGATCGCGTACGAGTAGTAGTTTTGATAAACGGGGGTGATGGGCCTCGCCCAGATCTCAATGCCCTTGTGCTACAATTGCGAATCATTGATAGATTACACACTGTACGAGACGTATCGCGATAATCTCAAGCGAACAATTACTACAACGGAACCGTGCCCATTAATATCGCGTCTCAAGCAATTCCCGTCTCAAGCGTGTCACATCATTAATATTACACTCGTGGGAAACCAATGTAATCGTGATTAACATCACTCACTTTGTATATCCGTCGACCTTGAATACCCAACGGATCTTGGTCCACGGCGATGATCTTCTTGTTCTGCAAAATAGCCTTATACTCTGGCCTGATCGTCCTGAGATCGACGGACATCAGTAACGGCGCCGCCAGAATAGCCCAGAGAGCCATTTGCGTTTTGCTTTGTTCGTAACTCAGCCCAAAGTTACCGATGATCAGCATATCTGGATCGTTCCAGTGTCCGGGACCAGCATTAGGCACGATCGCATCCTGATTGTTCCCGTAATAATCGATGATGCTTTCCACGCTCGCCCAAGAATCCTGGATGTCATCGAAGTTGCGCCAGAGATTGCAATTCTCTATTATTAAGCTGTAATTTGGCTGCAAGTAAAATGAACATAAGAACTGGTAACAGAGAGATATAAATTAAAGAAATTACACTCACCTGCATACCAGCATAAATTTGATAAACTGGCCAGCTGCAGGAATATATCATGGACTTTCCGGTTTGATTCAGGTGGAAGCCAAACTCAGGATATCCTTTAAATGAGAGTGTCATACTTTCAAATATTGCTAGATTATTCGGTCGAAAAGAGAGAAAACTCATTGATTATTCATGAAAAACATATAACTGTACCTCTGTCCATTTCGGAAGGATGTGCGTAGCATCCATCTAATTTCACATAGTCTACATCCCAGGAAGCAAATGTAGCAGCATCAGTCTCCAGATAACCCAACACACCTGGATATCCAGCACAAGTGTAATTACCATAATCCTCATAGATGCCAAACTTAAGGCCCTTTGAATGCACCTGGATAAAACAGTATTTTTGATAAACTATTATGGAATTTTAGAAAAAAATATAGATAATCACACAAGTCTGAAGAACAAATTAAATGTAGAACACAATGAACTTGAAAATCCAACACTTTCCAAAAGAAAGGATTAGTGAAATCAAGTATTTTGAGGCAAATAATACTGAATTACATAATCTGCCAGACTTCTCATGCCATATGGAAATCGCTGTCTGTCTGGCACAAGCTGTCCATTGAAGTTTCTATCCTTTTCCAACCAACAGTCATCCACATTAATATAGTTATATCCCACTGCTGCGTATCCCTCAGCTACCACTATATCTGCCATGGTCCTGAAGAGTTGGTCACTGCAAAAGCACAGAAAACCAAGCACCGTAACTCTCTGTGCACTCACACTTGACATCCCATCCAATACAGTATCCAGACTGCCAGGTGCTCACCTGATGCAATTGTCTGGATCATTTTTGCAGTCGGTATTACATCTGAATCGCTCCCACGCCAGCCAGCCCATGGGGGGTGTCCTGGCCAAGCCATTCTCCAACGTTAAAGCCAGATTGGCCAACGACAAGAGGGCACAAAAGGTCCACAGGTTGCGCGGCATTCTGTAGGAAGGAAACAAGACTATCTCTGCTCAATGGGTCGGACACGACGAGGCTACCAGGCCGGCAGCATAGTCCGGAGCGTGCGGAGCGGAGCGAGATATTCCTTTGACGACGGCCGACGAGCAAGAAGAGGAGGAGGAGGTCATCAGGAGAGCGATATCAGGAGCGACGCGAACGCGGACGCGTAATGACGAGGCGCGCCTAACGTACTGATCTGATATAAGAGGCAGGCGCGTTCGCTCGCCCGCTCGCCGCCGCGCGAGTACTTTCACTCAATGCCCCATTTCATTTTTACGCGCGATCACCGTCGCTGACTCGCGACGTAGCACACCGCGCCTGCCTCCACGCGCGTCGTGGACAACGTCGTGGCGCGGTATATAGTGCAGTAGCGTAACTCCTCGCCGAGAGTTCTTCGACATGAGTCGACTTCGCTCATACGGTAACCTAGAGTATTTATTTGGTAGCGCACTTTGACAGGCATCATGTAGCCTGCGTTTATACAAAACGCGTAAAACCGACTTGACAATGTCTGATATTGTAACCACTGGTATATACACTCGTAACATAACTGACTATACGTGTAACACAGCGATCGTTATAACACCCGAAATTATCAAGTCGGCTCTTATACTCGTTATATAAACATAGGACTGGATATCTGTACTACGGTCAATGCTAACCGGTTTTGGGCACATAAACATACACACAACGGAGACCAAAATGGAGTGCGCAAACGCGAGATAAAGAGGTTCGCCTGCTAGCGCCCTCTAATCTTCTTTCTCACTTATTCTTTTTATCTTTCGAAAATGTTAAGAATGTGGGTAAATAAATTTCGTTATTCAACAGTATCGCTGCCAATTTTACGCCATCACCAATAACATTTCGAAGCATAAAGTAAAGCACTGAGTATTTCAAAAAACAATCTTCAAGTTAGTTTGTATATGTAGAAGAGAGAAAAAGAAAGAAAGTGAGAGGAAAGATCAGAGGGCGTTAGCGTACAGTGAAGTTCACCATGAACGACACGCGCGCTTCGTTTCGACCAGCCAATCGCGGGAGTCACACCAGTGTATGTGCACTGTATGTGTTGTTAAGCAGAATAAATATTGCATTTTTTGAAGGTTGCTAGAAGATATTAAACAATGATTATTGCTTGTCCTTCGCATTTTAAAACGATGCCTCAAGGTTTGTCATTTAAATGCATCAAACAGGCAAGTATGAATGTTCAAACCAAAGACAAGATTTAAGATCTATCGTAAAGACAAATCACACAGAGCGTAAAATTTTAACCTTTTCGTTTTCTTTGTTCCGCGTCAATCTTATTATCGTTTGTGTGTATGTGTATGAATCTGTACTGCAGTTTGATTGACGCCGACTCTCGAGTCATCGCTAATAAAAACGAAAGCATCGTAGAATAATGGTGGAAGGACGGAGCGCATAGAGTGCGTTAAGGCAGCGTTCGGGGAGACGCTATTTACCGCTATAAGTGTGCTCTGTCCTTGTTTGTTCCTGAAAGTTGAACAAGGACAAAGGACGCTCATAGCGCTAAATAGCGTCTCCCCGAACGCAGCCTAAGAGAGCGAACTGGCAAGATCAGGCGAGCGATTTGGAAAAGAAACGGCTGGAATATCGTGGGTGGGAGATATATGAACGTGAATCGCAAGCGAGCCATACAGAGTGCCTCAAAAGTCACCTGTGCTTTTCTCCTTTAGAAGCGTGCATTTTAATCACTCGTCGTTGCGAGAATCTAAACTATAGTATCTCTAAAAGCGGTGCTTAACAGAAAGATCTCAAGTTTATGTTCAAGTTATGTTCAGATACTTCATAGCTAACGAAACAATTCGTACAGCAACTTAAGACAATGTTAAATGCAAAATTCGACTGTGAATATCAGTCTATATCGTTGTTACCTTTAGTGTTATTGCATCGTTACTTTATCTGAGCGCGATGTTACTAAATTATTATTATTATTATTATCACCAGCGTACCAAGCTATTACTACGATAAATTATTTCCGCATAGCGCGGGCGGCACGCTGTGTCGCACGAGTCGAGAAAGTAGCCAAATAGATGTGAATCAGTTCGCGTATGCTTCTTCTTGCACGTCGCTATACGAAAGAAAAGGGGAGAAGCAGGAGGAGGGAGTAGAAAGAGAAGCGAAGAGAAAGAGCAGAAAGAATATGTATCGGTACCTTTGCTGAAAAAGAAGGCCAACGGCGGTGGTCATTACGATACGTCGTGGACGGCGTTCAACATGAAAAAAAGCCCACCACCGAGGCGTCCTTTTATTTACGTAATCGTCTCCCTATCACGGAAGAGATCTCGCTGAGAGAAGATCGATCGATCGTATCTGTGTATACTTGATCGTTGAACACTGGCTACATCCTCGTGAACGTGAGCCGAGAGTTACCGCGAATACGGTTAAAGATCTAATTGTAAGCTGCATCGTAAAGAGTGAATTGAACATTATTAGCGGTGAACTGGCACTCGAGAACACTACCGGAAATTGTCGGCGCATTTGGATACAATGTAGTTGGCGAAAGGATGGTGTTACCGGGGATAGTTAAGACGTAATTGATTGCATTTACGTTGCTTGATTTTCTGGGGCGCCGTGAGGAATCAGTACTAGCATCTTATCGCGGTAAATACGTCAAGTTTGAATGTCTTGACAACGGATTTTCGGGTTTCTAAAGCGTTATGTCTTTAAACTTCTAAATGTCGAGCGAAATCGATTGCGTATCGAACGAAAGATGAATATCAAATCCGATGGTATCGGATACGATATATCTACGAAAAATACTTGAAAATTAATCTGTAGGACATAATAAGTTTATATTTCACAAATAAACTTTCAAGTATTTTCTCCTTAGTGTATATCTATTATTGATCTCTATCTATATTGTTTATTATTGGTGTTACCTACTTAATTATTGAAAGAGATATCTCTGTTTATTACTTATCTTACTCCTTATCTTAAAATAATTGTAATCATGAGTTTATTTATCATCTTAGACACAAACACGATTATACTTAGATCGATCTTCTTATCTCATCAATCGTATTAAATTAATTAAACGTGCGTAAATCTCGGCAATTAATTGTCTCCGGCAAAAATCGTCTCTAAAAAAAAAGTATCGCGCCTGCACCTGTCTGTCTCGCATTTCCTCGCAAAGAAAGACAAGCAGGAGCGCAGCTTCTCGCCTTCTAATTTCCCCCTCCTGCACCGCCTGCTCGGAATGGAGAGTTTGATTTCTTACACGCTCGCGTCTCTCTCCCGGCCGTCTCAATTCTACTCTCTATTTCAGGAGCAAGAAAAAAAGGATCGGAAAAGAATAGGGAAAAGGAACACGATCAGCTGTAATGACACCGAATCAGCTGTGTCCTAATCGCGAGAGCTCCTGCATTAGAGAGCCGTATTAGAAAGAGCGCGGTTAGAGTCGCTGGGTCGAGGTCGATATGAAATAATTCCATCGGTTTGCATTCTAAACTATCGTAACCCTGGCATGATCCACATCCACGCTCCATTCGTCTCACGGAATTGGCGAACCCGCACGATATCGCGCTAACGTCGCACGCTCGCGCGATTTGCATCCGATATCGCGCTCGTACGCGCGTTTCCGTAGGAGAAATCGACCGGTAAAATGCAGACGGTGACGAGTCAGCCCGATTCATCCACGAGGAACATCTTCCCGAGCTTCGTCTCAGCGATGTTCTCTAATCTGCCAGATCTATTTTCTGGTCCCGCGAAAAATTGAGAACGCACAATTCGAGAACAGTTCAGAGATCGCTTTAGAAACCGCGCGCGAGGTCTCTTCTTTTGTTTTCATCGTAGACAATAGAAACTGTATCTTGTAGATTAAATGACGAGCGCGCAAGCGTGCGGATAATAGGTCTCACGCACTGCTGAACAATTATTTTCAATGCGATCAATCTCGATGCGTAATGTCGAAAAACGAGAGAAATAATCACGTACCTGCTTTCCTGCCAGATGAATGTATTCGCTCGAATATATTCTGACTCTTCTCGTATTAGCGACTTATATACTATAACTTACAAAGTGTTGTACGATCAATATAAACACGTCTGAGTGTCCGTTCTCGACTTTGGATTTTCTTGTTTGTTCCGGTCAACATCAAATGTTACTATCAGTTAGTTCGTATCTTTATCGATGTTGTTTTCGAGATGTTACATGTTTTTCTTTCTTTTTTCTAATAGCGTGCAAATATACGTCACTGAGTGACTTCGCTATTAAACGGAGCATAGCGTAACGAATTTTATGAAACTAGTCGTTATTTGAAATCTAAAATTGCGCACGTCAATGAGAATGTTGCAAACGTCTCGCGGATTCTGGATGAGCGATGTGAACCACATTTCGGGTATCAATAGAACTCCTGCGCGAATCCCACGCACCGACACGCTTTAACTTGGCACGATTTCAACGCGTTGCACGCAATTTTGCATCGCGCCGGGTTTTATTTTCGACGTCTCCAGCGTGAAACCGACGCGAGATCGCTTTCGTACCCATAAATGGCGATTGTTGAAAAATGGAAAGAAACGTATGGGTCGGTCTCGATTCAATGAAAATTTTACCGTTGGAGGAGAAAATGAAATCTCAACGGTGTGTTTTTCGGATGGATAGAACTTTATTTAGAATTTTCTTTGAGCAACAGTTATTTTTGAAACACATATCTATAGTCGACAGAATATCTCTCGAGACAGCTGACACAATTGTGCGGAGATAGGCAAAATAAATAATGATAACGGTTTGCTCAATTATAAAAATTAATTTATCATTCAATCAACGGCGAGATCAACATCGTCGAGTACATTGAACTGGCGATAGATGTATCTTTTCTAATTTTTATAAAAGAATAGAATATTTACCGCGCGTTATATAGTAGATATCCTTCACAAGATGTCAAGTGATGAGGCGGATCAATAAATAGCAAACTAATTATTGTTTAATTACAAAAGTAAAGTATACATTCCATTTGTGTACATAAAAAAAGTACTTTAGCTCTAAGGAGTGGAAAGAAGAAGAAGGAGGTGGAGTGGAGCGGAGTGGAGTGGAGTGGAGAGAGAGAGAGAGAGAGAGTCCGCTGCGCTGAACTTTTGATTTACTTTCCAAGCAGGATTTTGCGGGTCGCGCCGAGACTTTGACCGGCTTGGGTCGCACCCTTGTTGGAACCCGCCTGCAGACCGATCACCGACTCGCCAGCCCGCAATTGTTCTTCAGTGAACTCACGTTTGCACTCCTCCGACGGTTTAGGTCCTAGGTAAGGTCCCTTCCACTCGGGATGTTTGTAGGTCTAAACAAACAAGGATGGTGACAGTTAAAACTCTGCTGAAAATATTATCGTCGCAATTTGCTATTTTCTACTATATAAGGAAAAAATTAACGAACGAAACTGTGTTACAGAGGTCAATAATGACAAGACAAAAAGAGTCAATGAGAACAGGAATCACAGATGTCAGCGCGCGTGCACCGCGACAAGATCCACTGATAGAGATACTCATCATTGATAAAGATCAATCCATCTCATAGCCGTATCTCGAACGTTTCTGCCCGAAATTTGAAATCTTCCGACGCGACTGAACATCATCTCGAGCTCTTTGTCTCGAGCTTAGTCCCTTTTTACTTTTGACAGAGTTTTTACCTATCTGCTATTTTACTTATTTATTATTTCATCATTATATATGATAACAATGAGAGCACGCACCGTCCTGCCGAGGGCGAACAGCGTAGTAACTACTTGCGCCATGTCTTTCTTCTCCCATAAGTCCACCGTCTGGAAAACGTCGACGTCATCCACCCCGTAGTCCTTGAGAGCTTTTTGGAACCTGCAACGTGGCTGATATAGTTGCTGTACACATGGATTGTTATTTCAATACGAATTTCACCGCAAACCGTTACTCACAAATTGATATTCTCCATCATCTTGAACTGTCCGCCGGTAGAATTGATTTTCGGCACCGATCCCGGCGAGATCTTGTTCATGACGTGACACAGAACCTGACCGTCCTTAAGCACATCATCGAAGGACTCGCCGGGAGGGAATTTCTTGCCTAGGATCGACTCAATCCATTCCTGCGCTTCTCTCTCTTGCTCCGGATTGCGCTTTGACGCGATCTGCAAAGAGAAACGTCGCTCTAGAATTTATGGGATTCTAATGTCACGCGATCCGATGTAATTTAAAATTCTTAAGTGAAAACTGAAAATCCATAAGATGATTCGTGGATCTTGAAAAAATCAGTGGCCTGGCGCGATCTGGAGTATCCCAGAACGTACGGAAATCTCTAACGACACGTTCTGTTTTTTTTTTAAGTATGCGTTGTACATTAAAAGCGACTATATTTTTTTTTCTCGGCGAAAGAATCCAGATAACGCGTAGAACTCGGAAAATCACTGTGCGACGCGCGTGACCGTAAACGGTTTGGAACGGTTACACCGAGGAGATGAGCGGTTACACTGCCGAAATATATACCTTGGCGCGCACTTGACGTTCTAGAGCCATCCTTATGATATTTTTGAAAAGACTGAAGTGCCGCGGCTTCTGGTCGCGGCTTTTTATATGTTCGCGTGGACCACGCAACCATCGTGGCCAAGTCGGGGGAGAAATGCGTCCAACAACGTAAGAGAGTACAAGGTGTCCCAAGAAGCAACCCTAGAGGAGAAAATGCTCGCTTTGATAAAGATGTAGTTAATGATTTCTCATTATTCTATTCGTCTTGATATATCAAAACTTGATGATTATCTTGTCCTCTATTTCGTAAGTTTACTTGTGAATAAAGTGGAACGTCTGAATTATTTTTCTCCATGGCACGCGGCACACACGAGACACCCTGTATGAAGCGACGCGAGAGTACGTGGTTCCACGCGTTTCAGGATTCTAATATTAGCGGCTTATTCAGTTAAACGAGAAATAGGTTTTCCGAAATTTGTGGTAAGACGCAGCTGCTGTGAAAATTGGACAGCTTAGTAATGATTGTAACATCTGTAAATAAGCCGAAACAAGATTCGCGTGAATGTATGAGTGTCGCGTCGGCTATCTCTTATTATAGCAAGCGGAAAAGGGACAATTAAGGACTTGAGCGTTGAACCGCGTAATTTTAATATCGATTTCATAAGTATCGCAGTAATTTTTCTATTTTCTCACTAATATAAGCCTCAATCGGTATTCCATGCACAGCTATTAATAGCAGTTAATCGTTCGGAACATCTCACTTCCTTGCAACCTTGATCTCATGCAAGATGCAATGATCGCGGAACTTCATACAAAGGAAGTCCAATGTCCATTTGTTATTCGGTTTATAATTGTAGGGTTTATAGTTGTAGGTTTATAATTGTCTCTTATGCTGCAATTCTAAGCAAATATACGAATGAATCATAAAGTCGTAGATTACGAAAAAAACAAAAAAAAAAAAAAAAATCGTAGGTACTTACGAGTTGACATACGCATAGAATTGCAGATCTACTCATAAGTTCTTACGAGTCTTATGAAAACAAGTTACAATTTTGTCTACCCTTACGGAAAGAAACTATAAGAAAAAATTACTGAGAACACAATATAGGAAAACTATTGAAGCACTATTGAAAAATATTGGAATACTACTGTATAATTATTACAACACTATTGGAAAACTATAGAAAACCTATTCGTTAATTTTATAAATAGTTTTAATATAAGTTTTCAATAGTTAAAACAATAGTGTTTTCATTAATCGACGAATCTACTGTTCTCAGTAGTTTTCTTATATATTTTCGTAAGAGTAGAATTGCACAGTACTAAGTATCTTAAAACCTCTAAGTATCTAAGTATTAAAAGTCTCTAAGTATCTTAAAATTTAAAAGACAGCGATCTCAATCATAAATTTTGCTCTTTAATCACCAAAATAATAGATAACGCACAATTGACACACCACTTCAAAATATTTACATTTCCTTAGATTTCTGTAACGGAAAACTGAAAACATGGACATAGAGATTTCTTCGACCAAGATACAAATATTAAAGATAAAAGAGCAAATATTCCTTTGATCATTTATATTTTTGCGGATATACGAAATTGATACTTAATTATCTAAATATACGTTAGCTCAAAGACAGAAATATCAGATTAAGGGTTATTTCATTCGTTTAAAAGGGACGATTTATATTGACCTAGTTTGATTAGAGATATGCAAACGTCAACACATGAGGACGTATCAGTGTAAACCGTAAGCAATGTGTCGAGGTCCTGAGTTTGAAGGAAAAAATGGAAAAAAAATAGCCGCCCTTGTGGAAAGTGGGGCGTGCTACTTTTAAATAGTTCTCTGTCATATGGCTCGGGTTATTATTGCGCGATCCAAACTTCGCAACTGATATTGTCTTGCACAAGCGTGAGATAGACTGAAAGGCGAAGAAAATAATTTTTTAAACATCTTTAAGACAAAAATCCGTAGATACGTGGTCGAAAATATCGTCGCTAATTTATGGCAAATGAAGATTTAGGGATTAAAGAAAACAGAGAATTTGCCAAACTAATCTTTTCGCGAACTATCTGGAAGAAAGCATCACGCTGTACAATATATAGAAGAGATATATTTTTACACAAGCGAGAGAGTCTGCTTCTCGCAACATAAAAAAGGAAGAAATAAGTAACGCGCACGAAATGTTCCAGGCGCAACGATGATGAAATTCGCGATTCCTTTACCGCGTTGCGTAATTTGAGTTTCGTGTCGATTCAAAGGGGATCATTTATTAGTTGGATGGCAGACTGGTGAATCATGTTTAAATTTAAACGTTCTGCGCGCTTCCACCAGCTGTACATAATCTTGTCTTCATCGTGTCGAAGATGCGTGGGTGTTTTTTCGAGAGCGCTGGTGATTCCGTTCCGTATTCGCGCTGTATTCTAAATGTAGTTATCCACTTGTTTCGATATCGATTTTATGTTTACGCTAGATACGCCTGAATCTTTGACTCTCTCGCGTACTAATAATTTCAGAATGCAACTTATTTTGCTTTGTTGTGCATAATTTTTCTTTAAACAGATAATTTTCCAACAGATACTTGGAAAAGAGCAAAAAGTAAAAATGAGGAAATGTCTGAAAGAAACAACGATATATCGATGTTCATTTAAACGTATTTTTCATTTCTTTATGAAATTTATCGTCGCTTGGAGTAGGTACGCGGCTGAGTAGGACGCAACTTAAAGAACTTTTTTTTCGATGACGTAACTTCCTCCTCTTGCTGAAATAGAAAATAAAAAGAAGTCAATAAAACACTTCTACTTATTATAGTTGTTTGAGCACGATATCTACTAGTGACAAGCAAATGAGAGGATGAATAAGATTATATATTAAAAACTCTCATACATTCGTTTACTTTCACTATTTCAATACTCTGCCAGCTCTCGAGAGAGACTTCATTATGCGCTATTATCCTCTTTTATTTATATTTCACTTTTACCGTGCTCTCTTTAAGTTCGTTTAATTTACGAGTCGCGTTATTACTGTTAATAGCACATGAACGTACGTACCTCTTTTGGACTTTCCCTCTTTATCGAGTATGTATGATTCAGTTGCTGCGATAATGACCTGTCGTTGTCCCCGAGATCCGAGATCCGTGATCTGAAACCCGCGAAGGTGGAAGCCTAAAAGCGGGGATTCACGGAATCGAGGTAATTCATAAACATGGGTAGGGAGATCCTGTATCATTAATTTCGTATTCCGCGGAACATCTGATAATCAGTAATTGCTATCATCTTTACCATTCACTTACGTTGGATTGGTCATCTTCGAGTATTTCTGTAACTTCAGTATCGAAACGCACCTTGTATGCACCCTTTTCCTTCGATTGTGTCTTATCTTTCAGGTAGCTCCTTTTGGGTTCCTGTGTATCGATTGATTTTATTCGCAACGTCTCCACAGATTCTTTTAGTTTGTCATGAAGATTTTTATTACATTCTATGGAAGACTGATAGTCGTTTTTCAAGCTAATGTTCTCTTTTGTTATTTCTGTTAAAGATATTTTTAATGCGCTATTCTCTTGCATAGTATTCTTATTCGCTTCATTCAAACAGTCGATTGTTTTCCTCAATTCCAGTATACGTGTATCATAACTGCTTGTCAAGGTCGACACTTCTTCTGCATGCTTGGCTTGGATGTTTTCATATAAAATATCCGCGTTCTAAAAAGATTTAAGAAATTTAGAATATCAATCATGTGAATTTTATACAATATACACTCATTACCTTAGCCTGCATAATCTCACGCTTCTCAGCTTCCTCTTTCTCCTGCTGAAGAATCTTCAATTTCTGATTAACGTTAGCAAGCTCATTGTTAACAAATTCATTGGCAGTCTTGTCGTGTTCTTGCATTTCTTGCATCTTGGCATTTTGCATCTCTGCGTTTTGCAAGTTTTTCTTAGTGTCCGAGAGTTTGCTTTCGAGATTCTTGGAGTAATTTATTTCATTGGTTAATTTCTTCTCCATTCTGTTCACGTCATTGACGAGACTTGTCTCTCTTTGCTTCGTCGCACTTAATGCTGCTTCCAAATTTTGAATCTAAAAGATAATATCTAAAAGATAATATCGCGTTATAAGATAAACAAAATTTGAAGATTGATTAAAAAATGCTTGCATCAAACTCACTCTTTCCGTCTTTGTACGCAATTCTTTCTCCCATATGTTTTGCTTCTCTTCCAAAGCTTTGTATTTATTACACGCCTCATTATTATTCGCCGTTATAACTTCGATTTTATTTCTATATCACAAAAACAAGTTAAGATTCAATTTTATAAATATTTTATCGATTCAAATACTCACTTATACATAGAATTTTCGTTCAGAAGTTTCGAGATGAGCCTGTCTTTTTGTGCGACTAATTCTGAAATGTTGCTTTTGTCATGTTGCAGAATGTTTAATTGCGATTGTAAGCTCTCACACTCAGTCAGAAGTCGTTGTTGCTCCTGTAGAAAAATAAAACATCATGGCAGGGAGAGATAGATTGTAAAGTTAAAAAAATTTTAGAGTTTGTCTTCGTCAATGTACCTCGACAAACTTTCTCTCCTCCTCGGCGTGTACGCTAGCTAATTTATTTTTTTGCGCATAAAATTCGCTATTAGCATTCTCCAATTGTTTATATAATTTATCTTTCTCCGTCAACACCGTTTGCATTCTAAAAAAAAATTATTCTTTCGACATTACATAGCATAACTCGGACGATTTATTGCATTTGGCGCAGACTCACTTCTCCTCTTGTAGCACCAATTTATTTTGCAGTTGTGCTGTGGATTTCGCAATATCGCACTTTTCATTTTCAATTGTCTGTAGTCGCAACTGTAAATTTTCGTATTCGAGTAGCAATCGTTGCTGTTCCTAAATTAGAAAATAGACGTGAGTTAAAGTATAATAAATAATTTACGGCATTTACAGAAAAAAAATCATAAGACTACTTCGAATAAAATGTTTGATGTAACGAACTTTAACGAGTATTTTCTCCTCAGCGTGTGCGTGTGCTAATTCATTCTTCTGCGTCTGCAGTTCATGGACCGAGTCCTCCAATTGCTTCCGCAATTGATTTTGTTCTATTATTGATTCCTGTAATCTGATTTACAAAATGATTTCAATATTATCGTTACGTCTCTATTTACGTATTGAATTATTGTCGTGCATATTACAATTACTCAGACAGCACAAGAATCCCAGAATCACCCTGAGTGTGTCCAAGATGTCCTGGGAAGTGTCTGAATACATTCAGGATAATCTCAGGTCTTATGCTATCTGGATTACCTTTTTTCTCGCAGCACCACCTCGTTTTCCAATTCTGTGAAACGCTTCTCCAGATCTATGATTAAAAAAATGATCATTACAAGAAAGAATTTAAAGTTTAAAAGTTTAAACAAATTGGAAGTTCAAAAGGTATACCTTTCAATTGTATGTTGCTTGACTGCAACTTCTGAATATGTCCCTGTTGTTTCAGAATCACATTGTCGTACAAGTTGGATAGATTGACACGGTGCTGTTGAAAACTTGCAAGGCTTTCACTGATGTAATTGCAGTAGTCTGTGATGGTGTCAATAGACTCCCAAGTAGTGTTCAATCTGTCAATCATGTCAGAGGAAAGATCAAGTTGGATAGCATCCCATTGAACACTAATTAGTAATAACATTATATCAATATTATAATTTTCCACTTAACAATATAACTGCTATATGATACATTATATTACATTTACATCATTGAATAAAAAATTATAACATTGATGTTATGTTATTGACAGCTAGTGTTTATTAGGATGCAGTCCCATTTAGCATAAAAATATTATGTCAACATTACATTTTAATTATATTATTAAAGAATATATATATATATATATATATATATATATATATATATATATATATATATGTGTGTGTGTGTGTGTGTGTGTACATATATATAAATAATAGAGATGTTATTAAATATTATTCTCTCTAGGATTTTTTAATAACGTTTAAAGCTTAAATACAACGTTTCCTTGGTTAATTCAAGATTGTCTTGTGGTATAAAATTAATATTATTTCAATATCTATCAAAATATAATAATCTTACTATCTTAACCCTTAGTGGCCCTACATGAGTATTTCGAGTCCGGACGATTTCTATCCATAGAAATTTCTCAGTATGTGATGGGTCCCGGATTTTTTGCCCCCTCCTAAAAATGCACAATGAAGTACGGGTATTTGTTCTAAAAACTTGAAAGTGAATTTTTACAGATTTCTCAAACAAAAAATATGATAAAAGAGCCGGACTCGAAAGACCCATGTAGGGCCACATATGGTGCCGTTTTTCATATAAGCCACTAAGGATTAAGTTAATTAAGTTAATGTTTTAATAGTATCAATACGCTGTTTTCCAGTAGAGACAATTATTATAATTATTATAATTATTATAATTATTATAATATATTTGTATTTCCATAAAAAAAATTAATTTATTGAAATATTATAGCAACATCTCAGTAGTAATGACATTGACTGTGATGCTATGAGGTTGGAATAAGAAATAGGAAAAAATTACTTTGTCTGAATCTCTTCTTTATAACGCATCTCCATTTCCAAGATTGAGGATAGGGAAATCTCTTCCCGCTGGCTCTGTTTTAGTTTCCGTAGTAAAATTTGAATGTTTCGTTCTTGATTTGGGGAAAGTGGCTTGCTTTCTTGCGAAGTTGAAGCTTCGACCACTTGCTATTTTTGCAAATGTACATTTGCGTGAGCAAATAAAATTAAAGAAGACTCGTTTTGCAGTAGTTTATATTTATGAAAAGTACCTCTTCCGCTTGATGCAATGCGATATCTGTTCCCGTACGCTTCATCCATTGTCCGATCAATGTGTCGATAAATTGGCCGCCACTTTGTGTGCTTGAACGAGTTTTTTCAGTATCTGTGAATTTCCCACAAAGATTATAATAATATAATTGTGCCATGAAAATGGGTACGACTTACTTTCTTGCATTTTTGAACGTTTTTTTGATACACAATTATTATCATCTATTCACCGTCACTTATTTCTGATTCTGCTTAAAGAAAGGTCGTACAGACCCAAAAATGAAGATAACAATTAGCGAACAATTTCAAGTCGATTCGATTTTCGTGAGTATTTTTCTAATTATATCGGAAATTTACAATCAGAATGTTACATTTACAAAAGTAATGAAAAAATCGACAATTATTCCACTACAACACATATACACACATATAAGATAAAGTATAAAGTGTATTTTTGTATTCCATAAAAGAAAAAAATAATTAATAATATTTTATATTGTATTTGGCGCGTGTATCGAACGGCGCGTGTATCGAACGGCGCGTGTATTGTGATGTATATTGCAGTGCTCTCTATCGGACTATTGGGAAAACATTTGTCATCTAAAGGTGCTTTTACATAGAAGTGTCGAGCGTCGAACGTCAAGCGTCGAGCCATGCGTAATAATATAGTAATAGTAAGTTGCTGAAACGCAAGATTATTTTGAGGCGTTTTTTCGTTTCGTGACCACGATACCGTTTGGTTGGTTGGTTTGATCTACTTAATGCTCGCAACGTCTTGAGCAACAAAGATAGAATGATGCTCGTGGCATTGCAAGCGTTAAATGGACCAAACTAACCAACCTACTGTTAAACGCTACTGTGGTTACGAAACGAAAAAATGTCTCTGCATACTGAACTAATTGAATTTCGAGACAGTTATCAGCAATTCAGAAAAAAATTGTAAGACATTACAAAATGTCTATTAATTATCGACATTATTTGTAGTTATTAAAATGCAATAGCATTATCAGCAACGAATATTACAAACAAAACGTGGAGTTAATTGTATTAATATCACTACTCAGTGAGAAATGACTTATCGATCGACGTCGAAAAAACGTCGAATCGACGTCTATTTGACGATTTTATTTTGATGACGTCGATCAATAAGTCATTTCTCACTGGGTAATTGCAAATGCAATATGAGCAAAACAAAAAAAAAGGTTTTGGGTACAAATATTCGCAAAAAAAAGAGGCATAGAAAAGAAGGAGAGAAACATAGGCTGGTATTCATAGTCCGATCTTATATTTAAGAACATCTTAAAATGCCATGAACCAATTATAAAGCAGAAGGAGTGTAATTATTTGCTCGGACAGGAGGGAGCCGTATTCGCATCTTAAGACATTATTTAAGGGGTAACACTACCTTGTAAATTTTTTTTAACCATTTTTTTTTATTGGCTTAAATTCTTCCTTAACTATCCAAAAATGATGCCCAAAACATTTTATATGGAGGAAAGTTTTTAAAGTGGCCGAAAAATTCGGTTTTCCGAGTAAAGTCACGGTGCTATTTAACGAGTAATTAGGGCGCGTTCCATAACGGTACAGTAGGGGTCACTATTCCTTCGTAAACATATTATACTTACATCAGTAGGATAAAACTTGAAAATGAAACCATTAGATGTCTCTACTACTCGAATTTTCAAGCTAGGACAACAGCTGACGCCAGAAAAACCGTTAGAAGCACGTGTTTCTTGGTTCTGTTGAGTTTTTATTCGATATTTTTGTATAATTTTGATCAAAAATGTATACAAGTGACAGAAAATCACGCAAAGGAACGAAAAGTAGCCAAGCAACAGTGAGAAGAAAAGGTATGAGAGGCGGCACCCCGAAAAATCGATATCTGCTAGAGCAGTCGGCTGAGAGCGTTGGCATGTCCTCTAAAAAGTTGAAGTTATCGAAAAATGAGTATGATATTGATTACGATAGCACTTTTGGCTATCGTTTACTATGTTTCGCATCAGTTTTCTCTGCTCTATCGGAAGTGTTGGTGTGCCATACGTGCCACAAGCCAGTGAAATTCACTGAAGCAAACAAACAAGGCTTGGGCTTCAAAATCGTTATAAGCTGTGAGGCGTGTGAACCAGTACACATAAATAGTTGCCCAAAAATTAATAATAAAGCGTATGAAGTAAATAGACGAATGGTTTTGGCAATGCGTTTGTTGGGAATCGGTTTAAATGGAATAAAAAAGTTCTGTGCGTTTATGGATTTGCCTCAACCAATATTTCAAAAAAGCTACGATGAAATCATCAAAACTTTCCGCGAGGTATCCGAGTCTGTTTGTTCTTTTTCCATGAAAAATGCTGCGCAACAAGAGAAAATAAAATCTGTAGAAAAAGGCGAAAACAACGGTATTACAGTCTCAGGTGATGGCTCGTGGCGTCGTCGAGGTTTTTCGTCACTATTCGGAGTCGTTTCGCTTATTGGATGGTTCAGTGGGAAAGTTGTTGACGTTTTGGTAAAAAGTAAGTTTTGTAAAACATGTTTGCACTGGAAATCAAAAGAAAACACAGCTGAGTACAAAGAGTGGAAGAAAAATCATGAGTCGACGTGCGAGGCGAATCACGAGGGATCAGCAGGAAAAATGGAAGTAGACGCCGCGACTGAGATGTTTGCTCGCGCGGATGAAAAGAATGGTGTTTCTTATATTAATTACATAGGTGATGGTGATTGTAAGACTTTCAAGGCTATTATTGAGCAGAATCCAAATATCAAAAAAAAAGAATGTATTGATCATGTTCAGAAAAGAATGGGCACCAGGCTTCGAAAATTGGTGAGTAATACAAAAGGATTGAGCGGTAGAGGTAAATTAACGGGCAAATTAATAGACGAATTAAGTATTTACTACGGATTGGCTATCCGTAGACACTGTAACTCAATCGAGGACATGAAGAAAGCCATTTGGGCAACACTCTATCACAAAATTTCTACCGATGAGAAGCCACAACATCATTTTTGCCCGGAAGGCCCGAAGTCGTGGTGTGCTTGGCAGCTACAGAAAGCAATCATGGGAAACACCAACGAGTTCAAGCATAATCCAGCAATGAGCAATGAAGTTTTTAAAGCTATAAAGCCTGTGTATGAAGAATTGAGTAGGGATGATTTGCTATCGCGTTGCTTGGGCGGGTTCACACAGAACTCAAACGAAAGTTTAAACTCGCTCGTGTGGTCGATGGCTCCCAAATCAAGTTCCAGCGACAAATCTGTACTCGATATTGCTGTGAATCTCGCAGTTTTATATTTCAACGATGGATTTTTCGGAATTATGCAAGTTATGAAGCAAATGGGCATTTCAATCGGACTGAGTTGCTACAATTTCTGCTCGAAAGCCGCGCGCATCGCGCAATCTGAGCGTTCCCTGTCCGTAGAGGCGAGAGAAGCTCGCTCAACATCATTATCGTCAAGGAAGGATGAGGAGCACAAAAATCTTAATTTAGAAGGACAATTGTATGGTCCAGGCATCGCCGATTAGTGGTAAATAAAAAATTACATTGAAATATACGTACTTGAAACTTTAAACGCGTTTTACTCGAAACTATGTTTTTCGAGCTGGCCATAAAGCTAGCGCCTACAATTTTCAACCAATCGACTGGAAATTTTAACTGTAGCTAAAAAATTAAATTTTCCGTAGAACTTTTTGATTTATGAAAATTTACTGACTTTATAGCCGATTTTCGGCCGATTTTTTCGCAAAAACGTGTTTCTTTTTTTAAACTGACGCTATTTTTAACAAAATCAATATTTTGAAAAGTTCTACGGGCGTTCACTAGATTTTTTGATATAATTTCAAAATCTTTTTTGTTTTTTATTCTAGATGCACAATTGCGACCTGTAGGTTTACGGCCAGGGAGGTCATAAAAAAAAGATGTTTCATTCCGATAGATGTGCTGCCATTTTGTTTTTAAATGACTTAAAAAAAATTTTTTTATATACTATAAGAGATGTATAATGATGTCTAAAAAACTGAATTTCAATCAATTGTTTTGCCTTTCCACAATAAATTCTAGAAAATGAACCTTGATTTAGACCTCATAAGGTAGTGTTACCCCTTAAGACGGTCTTGAAATAAGATTCGACTATGAATACCGGCCATAGTACTACTTAATACTATCTTAAGACAATACTTAAGATGATCTTAAATCATATATGTAATACTATATTGTTAATCATATACTATATTGATAATCGCCCTACCCAGACAACAGAAGAACTTCTGAGAACGTTCCAGGGATATTCTGAGGATATTGGGACGTTCTCAGAACGTACTCAGGACGTTCCCTGGATATCTGTGCTGTTATGGCTTCTGCACAGGATGCGGTAATGCTTGCCGCGCGACAGAAGTCCACGCGACAATCAATATGCTGCTTTCCGTAATAACCTTCTAGCTCTTATGGAAAAACAACATATTGATTGGCTATCGCGCGGACTTTTGCCGCGCGGCAAGCATTACCGCGTCCTGTGTGCAGAAGCTATTAGGGTATGCCTCTAAGATGAGCTTGTCCTAGGTTGCGTTCCAAAACGTCTTTTTTGAGGAAATTTTACTCGATACTCTATAGTATATGTAACGTGAATTATAGATATTGACTAAAATTTTTCTCAAAAAGAACGTTTTGGAATGCAACTCTAGAATGGAAGGATAGATGATGCCCGAGGAATGTATTTTGACCGTAGTGCGCAGGTGCGGCGATCAGATGATGTTATATCATATATGTGAAGTTGCGTTCGGAAACGTCACTCGAGTACTCTCCCTCTCTTTTTATCTCACTCTTGTATTTCGCTCACTCCAACAGCTATCGTCTAGTAGTGTGTGTTTCCGAACGCAGCCTAATACTAATATATGGCGCGTAGAGCTTTCAGCGGTACCACAACACTACGGTGCAGACTAGGGCTGCGTTCCGAAATGCACTGCCAGTATTGAAAATCTATAGTTTATGTTACGTATATTATAGAATTTCAGTACTGGCAGCGAATTTCGGAACGCAGTCTACGGATGCTGATTTCTGATTTGATGCATCGAGAATCGATTTTAAGAGCCTAAAGGTCGTTCTATATTAGTTGCAAGTCGATCACAAGTAGAAGCAATTCTTATTGCGACAGCCAATCAAAAACATCAATAGTACTATTGACGCTTCTGATTGGCTGTCGTAACAAGAGTTGAAATCGTCTTGCAACTAATGTAGAACGACCTTAAGGGTGCAAACCCATGCAACGAAATGAGTAGCACGTAACTAAAATGACTTTTAAATGAATGTTTTATTACTCGTTTTTATTATTATTTACATAAATATTTAATTAATAAAAATATAGTCAATTTTGAAATTTATTCTTCGAAATATGAGATTCAATAAAAATATTAATAGTTTAATGATAAATGTTTTATTGTGAAACATTTATATGTAACATAATAATAATTACATGTATCTTATTCAATAGCTTCATTATCTTCACGTGACTTCTTACGACCAAAGAATCTTGCCTCCGGATATTTTTCAGTTAGAAAACTATTTATTCTTCCATATTCTGCCTTTAATTTTATCCTTGTATCATCATGATTTCTTACACGCTCCATTTTCCTTGTCTTTAATATCCACGAGTTCAATTTGGTGTAAAATGGCTCATATTTCTTTCTCTTTAACACTATTTTGCCATCCATTATATATTGTTTAAAATCAAGAATCTCGTTCGACGGTACTTCCTTTGGCTTCCTAACTACAGATGGTGAAGCGACCACTATAGGATAATTACCGTTTTCCGGTCTAAACTCAACCAAGTGCAAGCATTTTTCGTCCGCTATTTGTTGATGTGATTTCTGAAAGAATTTTTATTTAATGTTGCAATTAATTTCGTTTTGTTGTACATTATAGAAAAAGAAATCGTGGTCTTTGATATTGAATATTTCACGTTATTAGTTCTACAAATTTATATATCACAAAATATGAAATAACATATGCTTGCATTTCCAAATTTTAATTTAATCCTTCGTATACACTTATTTTTTTAACCTTCGTATACACACTGGGTGGTTGCCACCTATGGCAATTTTCAAACAGCTGTATCTTTTAAAATATTTATGCTAAAATTCTGAAAAAATTCATGGATTAACTTTAATGTTTATAGAAAGTATTTACATACTTTTGGTATTAAAATTTAAGAAATTTCATATTTAAAAAATTATTATATTTCGTGATTTCAAAAAAATATTTCGTGAGTTTTTGCAAAAAAATCTGTAACTTTTGTAATTTTTATTATTTTTAAATAAAAATTTAGCATTTTATTATTGAAATGTTTATCTTTAAGGAAAAAATTGTCTCGTAAGCCATCTCTAGAAAAAGTATATTTTGAATACTGAAGTGAATGTTAGTATTATTAAGGCTAGAAGCTAACTAACACTTATTTTGCTAGCAGAGTGGAATCAAAGCATAGTTAAGACCTCAAACTACAATTAAATGGCGACATTAGTTCCATTTATTACAGTACTTAAAAGATATAGAGCGCAAAATTTTATGAGTGGTAACCATCCAGTATGTATATAAAGGATTAATAAGTTGTGTAGAATTGTAACTGCTTATAAGAGCCTTTGTATGTAGAAAAATTTTAACCGTAACTGTAAAGTCGTAAGAAAACTGATCAATCACAGTCGATTATTCCTCGAACGCAAGGAAAATAATCAACTCTGATTGGTCAGTTTTCTTACGACCTTACGGTTACGGTTAAAATTTTTCTACGTGCAAGAGCCTTAACTCATAGATTTATATTTGAGAAAGAGTCAGAGTATTCTATTATATATACATATATTTTTTAATTTCATGTCTATATGTATAGACTTGAGAAGAGATATATAATGCATATCAGATCATTCTACAAATATATACCTGTCGCAACAAACCGATGAAAAAAGCCTTTATAATATGTTGCAAATTTGTAGATCCTTCTACTTTGGCATATATGTCCTTTATGCCAATCGCCTCGCAACATGCTTTTATTGCACGGTGACAGACAAGCCCATATCCTTCGTACATTTTCTTTACAAATATTTTTGTTCTTCCAAATTGTGTGAAAAAGTCATGTAGCACTGAAACATACAAAAGGAGGTATAATAACTTAAACTTAATATACTGCTTAGAAAATTAAAGAAAATATATTTTTGCAATGAAATTGTGTGTGTGTGTATATATATATATATATTCGTTACCAGTATGTTCTTGATATCTAGGAATATACATTAGTTTGTGACCGGCTCTATTCTTAGCTGTTTTTAAGGCAGCTTTAGATGCAGGTGCTTTTGCTAATGCAAAGCCAGCTACTCCATTCCCATTTCCAGTCACAACAAATATGCTAATTCGAGATTTGCGTCCTAAGTTACCAGTCATACAAGTTACCAATTTACTTTCCAAGACCCAAGTTTCAAAGCCTTCAAAAGTATCTGAAGAATGAACCCGTAAGTAATTTATTATTATAATTTTTTTTATTAATATTTATTAATATAATAATAATTTTAAAGTTAATTAATGTTACTATTATTTTATATATTTTATATATTTTATATATTTATTTTTTATATATTACTATTATTTTATAATTTGTTACTGAAACATTTGTTATTGAGACATATTAAGGTTAATATCATGACACATATTATGTGAAATAATTTCACAAGTTAATTACAATGAGCACTACCTTCTCCAACAGGATCAGGTGGCCCCACTTTTCTGCCACATATTGAGGCACTTGTCCAACCACGTTCCAGTGGAGAAAGTTTTATCTTTTTTGGTTTAGTTTGGCTTTGCCGTATCCTTGTTAGCTTTTCCATTCTTTCAGGATCTTCAGGCAGTCTCTGCTGCTGGACCAGCTCTCTTCCTCTAAATATAGGAGTATTTAGACCAGGAAATTGTATCGAAATTTTTCCTACACCAATAATCTGACCCTTGTTCAAGTCTCTTTTTCTTGACAATCCTTTTGCTCTGCCTCTACGTCTTCCTGCATTACTGACACTTGTAACACCTTTCCACAATTCATCTGCAGTTTCTGAAAGGTAAAAGTCAAGCTAAAAATTATTCTCAATTGCAAATGTTCTTAAATGTTTTTTCTATAATAATTTTACTTACTTCTCGTGAAGAACGTTATATTTCTCACTTCATGTTTCAGAGAAACATGTGTTTTTAATAGATATGAGTGATTGACAAACAGTGAATTATATATACCTGAAAATATTTATAACCTTACAGTAAATGTGTAAAAATTAGATTGAGAAAAGTTAATGTAAATTAAATATGTATATAAATTATACAATTATTTGCAGATAGTAATGTATTTCATTTGTACCGTTGTTTTTGGTTTGCTCATTTTTCAGTGAATTTGTCACAATTCCACAAATACGTAACATACGAGAAGCCATTTTAAAACATTACGTCACGGACGTTTCTTTGCGGAGATCACAGATGTCTATGGCCGGTATTCATAGGATGCGTTTGGGGAGGAGCACGCTACTAACGTTATCGCGTTCTTCTACCTTGCTTTTTAAGCCAGTGGCACACGATGCTTGTTTTCATGCTGAATTGCTTGCTGAATGGAAATATTTTGTCCTGATTAGTGCATTTCTGAAGACGGACCAATCAGAATAGAGTATTTCCATCCAGTAAGCAATCCAGCATGAAAACAAGCATCGATTGCCGCTGATTTAAAAAGTATAATTACTTGGATGATTGAAAATAAGGATGATTGAAATATATTTCTGAGGTGACAAAAATTCAAGAAAAAGATGATTTCTTACAAAAATTAATCTTTATTATAGGAAAATTGGCGGAAATAATTACAAAATGTCATGACAAAATAAAGTGAAATTGCTTCGTCGTTTAAGCCTAGTATAACTCAGAACAAAAAGATCTCAGTTGGAACAAGAAAGGAAGCATGTGTTTACTCTTGACGTCG